AGAGGCCCAACACTCCAACCACTGAGCCAAACTGGCCGGGGCTAACTTTAAAATTTTTTAATTACTGCCCAGCTGGTGTGGTTCAGTGGACTTGAGCACTGTCCCGAGGACTAAGATCTAAGTTCAATTCCCAGACAGGGCACATGTCTGGGTTGCTGGCTCCATCCCCAGTAGGGGGCGTGCAGGAGGCAGCCAACTGATGTTTCTCTCCCTTTTTCTCTACAAAAATCAATAAAAATATATTTTAAAAAATAAAAAATTTTAATTACTACTTACATTTATGGAAAAGTGTCCATTACATATTAAGTAAAAAAGGCATAAAACAAGGTGGACAATATGATTCAATGTAATGCAATGGAAAAGCATGTGTTACATATCCAGGGATAGCTGGAGGGCTGTTAATCAAAATGTTAACTGTAGTTATTTTTTACTTTCTTCTTTGTATTAAAGCTTACCACTAACAATAAAAATTAAAATGTTTATAATGGACTCTGAAGTTCAAGTGGAAAAGAGTTCCAAAAATGGCCTTTTATGACATTGTTGAAGGGACTAAGAACAACATGCTCTACTTTTCTTCCCACCTCCCTATATACCTCATAGGTTTTGTTCGAAGTATTATACAGCATTTACTTCAGTCTACTAAGTATTAAATTTGACTTATACTATGTCAATCTTCACCCTTAGGCCACCCTTAGTATTTCCATGTAGGGACTGTCTTTACTCATTTTGGATTTTCCATAAAAGTTAATGCATGGCTAAAATAATTATTTGATAAGTGCTAGTTTGCTTGAACTTAATTAAGACCATCTTCTGCTTTCTTTAGGAATCATATAATGAAAATCAACGTAATTCTAGTGAGATGAGATTTTGGAAGAGTATTTACAAGCAATATGTTGTTAATACTGTGGAACTAGGGATAAGTCATACCCCTAAAGGAGGTGAGGATTCAGATGCTCAGCAAAATCCCTCCTGATGCACATTTCTGATTTTGTCACTTTCTACAATAACTCTCCAGTTACTCAAGTCAGGATGCAATGAAACTCTCCATTGTGGCAAGAAACTACTTTACCATTCTTACCTCCCAGGGTTTCCCTACATGCAACAGTTTCCCAAGAAAACTAACCACTTTGGTGAATGCTTTTCTGTCTACCTAGATTTCTTCCCCACCAAATCTCTCATTATACCTACCTACTGAAGTTCCATCCTTTAAGGTCCATCTAAATACCAACTCCTAGAACTATGACAAGAATGATTCCCCCAGAGAAGTGCTCTCTTTACTCAAGCTCCTTTTCTAGTCATAAAACACCCAACATTTAAGCCTATTTGTGTTCTTGTTTTATCTCTCGAACTCCTTGTTAGATTTCATGGGTGAAGAAGCAGGCGTGTCCATTTTATATGTCTTTTGTTTTCTAGAGTATATATTCATTAATCAAGTTATTTCAATATAGGAGACCCAAGGAGATTTATTTACAACTTGACCAAAGAGAAAAATTAAAAGTAGCATAAGGTCCTACTTGGTATGGTTCTAGACACTAAAGTAGTATGATTTAATAGAAAATCATAACAGCATAGAAAGTAACACAAACTATGGAGTTAGGCTGACTATGTTCAAACTCTAGCTTTGCCACTAACTTGATGTGAACCTCAAGGGAGCTCAAGGAAGTTATTTAGCTTTTCTGGCCTCAGTTTCCTCATCTGTAAGATGGTGAGACTATCAACTACCTCACAGTTGGTGTGATAAATTGAGTTCATACACAAAAATACATTTACAACATAGTAAATAAGCAATGTTTATTGGCAGTCACGTGTATTATTATTTCCCCAGAAATCAATTTCTCTACTGGTAAATGGAGAATATTAAGCTACACTTCTCAGATCGATCTCTTTCAACTCAGGGATTCCATACATAAGTGCTACATGACAGTGAAGATGTCAGAGATCACTATTAGCTGACAAGTAGGGATAGGCTTCATAAGAGAACTGGAACCTGGGGGAGTCACAGAAAGATGTAAGTTGAGTAGAGAAGTGTGAAAGCAGAAGACATTCTAGGGAGGAAAACTAGAACTAGCAAAGGCTAGAAAGTTAGAATAAGCATGAAACAAAAAGATAATTCGGCTAGAGTTTAAATTTTGGACAATGGTGGAAAATAAGGTCTGATTTACGTGACTTTAAAAATAGTGGATATAAATCCACATTACTTTATCAATTGTGTTTTGGAGTAGAAGAGGTCTGGTGACACCTGATTAGCATCTACTCTATCTAATAATCTGCCTTGAGAACATTTCACAGTTCTACAGCGAAAATCTGTACAAAACCCAAGAATTTCAACACATTCTCCTACAGTCAAATATAAGTAAATGCTGGGTTATACTTATTTTGGAGGCATTTCTTTCCTCTCTATGAGCTTAAAGAAACTAAGAGCTGCCCTGGCCAGTGTGGCTCAGTTGGTTAGTCATCCAGTCTACCAAAGGGTTGTGGTTTGATTCCGGGTCAGAGTGGATGCAGGGGTTTCCTGTTCAATCCCAGGTCGGGGCATGTGAGTGGGGACAACCAATAAGATGTTTCTCTCTCTCTCCCTTGCTCTCTCTGGAATCAATGAAAAACATATCCTTGGGTGAGGGTTAAAAAAGAAGAAAGAAACTAAGGGCTGATTATATGAATATCAATTTAATAAAAAGTAAAACATAAACAACTGCACTCCTCTATGAATTACACTAAATTATTACAATACGATCTAAGTCAGATCTTATCACTCCTCTGCTCAAAACCCTCAGATGGTTCCCATCTCAAGCAAAGCAAAAGTGAAATCCTCACAATAGCCTAAAAGGTCCTGGTTGTTCTGCTCCCATCAATTCTTTCTTCCCTAACCTTATCGTCTATCACTCCCTCCTTTGCTCACAGTGCTACAAGCACATTGGTCTTCTTACTGCTCCTCTAACAGGCCAGCATTGTCCTCTTCCAGCCCTTTACTCTCTGTTAATCTCTGCCTAGAACTTCCTTCCCCCAGACACTGGCTGGCTCACTCTCTCTCGACTGCTTTTAGTCTGCTTAAATATTAGATTATCTGTAAAGACATCCCTGACCACCTTATTTCAAATAAACACCTTCCTATCTTTCTTCCCAGCTGTATATTTTCCTAAGGTGCTAATAACCTTCTAATTTACAGTGTAATTTATAGATTTGTTTACTGTCTCTCTTCCCTCCACTAGAAAGTAAGTTTCATGAGGGCAGGGGGTCAGAGACCTAAAACAGTTGCTAGGGAACAGACACATAGTAAGCATCAATAAGAGTATTTCCTAAATTAATGAATTGCAAATTAGGCCATCTAATGCCCCTTCTAGGTACAGAAAAACAAAACATACATTTTTTTTCACCACTGAGAATCCGAAAATTAATTTTTATACAAAACACTTATTGCTTACCTACTATGTGCTTGGCTCTGGAAAGTTACATTCAGTAAGAAATAATATCTGCCTTTTAGGAGCTCTGGGGTGTACATAGGGAGTCAAAGGGACACAGAAACATCATTACAAAAAACAACATACAGGGAAGCCAAAGGAAATTGGAACCGAAAGGAGTTAGGGGCAAAGGGGGAAATGCTTCACTTAGGTGACAAGGAAGCTATGATTCCATCCAAACTCTCTACTAGTAAATAGTTTCTCTCTATATTATTGGTACGTATGCTTGCAATTCCACATACATTATTTACTCACATCAGATAAGTTTTTAGGTAGGCCGCAAAAAAGTTTATGTGACGACGGTGATGCTAATCACTAGCTAAAGGCTGCACAGAGATCACTGACTTTGTCTTTCACTGTCTTCTGATTTGGCAACTTTTGCAAATAGGGTGCCCCCGATTTGGAGGCTTGCATCTGCCAACTGCTGCCGTCCAGGGTCAGATTCCTCCCGGTGGCTATCCCAACCTCGGAGCCCAGTACCTTGCAAATCTCTTCCGTAGACGAGGAGGCGGGCACCGCCTCCGGAAAGCCGCCAACTGGGCCTCCGTAAGAGTTGCGGGAAAAGCGGGAGCGGTGGGAGGGCGACGCGGCTCGGAAGGACCCCTCGAGGCCTCGGCCCCGCATTCCTACCCCTCCCCAGCTCCCAGGGCCTCCGGTAATCAGGGGCTCCGCCGACTCTTTGTTAAGTAAGGCCGCAGTTCCCTGGCCTTCGCTAGGCCCCGCGGTTGCCTCCAGTGCCACCAAGGGGTCGCAGCCCCGCGTCCAGACCGACCTCGCACAAACCTGCTGCTGTAGCGACAGCTACTACTACCTCCGACACGGAGAGAATCCCACGGCCCGAAGTACGCGCGGTCCAGGCCGCGTCCCGCCGCGCTCCTCCCTCTCCGCCCCTTTCGCCGCCGCTGCCGCCGCCTCTAGACCCGTTGCTGGCGGGGGGAAGGGAACACAAACCTGACATGCGCAATGCAGAGCGCGGGCCGGAGGGCGGGGCCTGAGTCTACAACTCCCGGAAAGCGCTTGGGTTTACAGCTCCAGAATACCTTGCAGACCTCTCAGTTTGACAGGCCTCTCTTGCTGGGTGAGAAGTGTTCGTGGCCTGTGTAGGAAGCGGGCCTGGGAGTGGAGAAAGAGTAGCAGTGACAGGGAGCCGCCCAAAAACTCCAAGAAAAGGGCTTAGGCGGAAACCGCCTATACATAAAACTGTCGAGAGCCCTTAAACTCCGGTCCTTTGCAAATACGACTTGGGCAACATTTCTCCGCGTGCCTCTGGCCACGTGGTCTCATAGAGCATGGCCACCTTTAGCTTCCGGAGCAGCACTTCAGTGTGATGACAACTTGACTGAATCCTAGCGGAGAGGGCTGGGATTGGCGTGAGGGCCGAGACGAGTGAGCAGTTCCGGCCCAGGGGCTGAGATTATGTAATTTTCCCAGCAGCCCCACCTCACCTCTGCGGGGTGTGGGTGGGGGCGGTCTCGCGCTGTCCCGGAGGCTGTGTCCCGCCCCGCGCGGCGCGCAGGCGCGGACGGGGCGTACGCAGTCTACGTAACGGATGGCGGAGGCTACGTGAAGAGTGGGGTGGTGTGACTGGGCAACCTGGTACTTCTGTGTCCTAGAGGCACCAGGGGCACTAAAACCGCGGTGACCGCGCAGGTGGCGGCCAGGCAGAGGCCTGTGGGGTAGAGGCGGCAGCCGCAGGAGCTCTGAGCCGGTTTCTAGCCCCGGTACAGGTAGGAAGCGGGCCATGACGTGTTTGTCGGTGGGGGCCGGGCCAGTCCGAGTGGTCACTTCAGGTGCGTGGCCTAGCCCGGTCCGTTTCCCACTCAACCTCCTCAGTCGGGCCTGTCCGTGACATGCATCGGCCCCCGCCCCTTCTCACTTCTCCCGACTTTCTTAAGCCAAACAAGCAAACTTTGTGTCCCCCAAGGGCCATTTTCTGTTGGTCTTCCGGATTGGAGTGATATGAACGGTTTTGAGGAACTTTCCTCCAGATCTGTGAGCAAATGCCCACCAGAAGGGCAAACTAGAGGAAGCTGACAGAATGCAGCAGGAAACATGGAGTACAGATGTTAGGATGAATCGATTCTCCACGGTGGGGACTAGACCCTGGTGGTTTAACAGAAGCAACCACCTCTGACCAGCCTTCTCTGAAGGTTTCTAACGCAAGACGTGTTTTTATTCAACGTGTGTGCGGAGTCTGGGACGTCTCCGTGACTTCCAGAGGTCTCATAGCCTGGCCAGTGTCAGAAAGGCCTAATCCAAAATGGCAACAAGTAGTGATTTTCTCACTTACTCAACTCTTTGGTTTTAGAAGCCCAAACCCAATCTGCGAGAGACTGTCGAGTGAGTTTGCAGAAGATAAGCAAACCAGACTTGTTAGCACTTGTGTTCCCTGCCCAGGAGTCTCACTGAGGACGGGGTGGCCTGGCAGGAAATTGTGCATTTGAGAAATGAATTGACGGGTGGGGCAAAGAGACTTCTGAGAGGGAAGGCCAAGGCACAAATGGCTTGGATAATTTTAACCCAAATAACCTTGAAGGAGCCCTGTGACAGTGCTGAGTTATCTTAGATACGCTTCTATGGTGTGAGCATTCTAAGTGGAAATCCCATTTGAAATGATCAGACATTTTGGCAGGCAGTTGACTGTCAGTGTTAACCTTTATTTGCTTCTATTTGGAAAAGTTTAAAACAGATCTGAAAAGTGAAACACTAAAAATGAAGTTTGTAAATCTTAAAGGGTGTTCATAAGGCACAGGAGAAGGAAGTAATGGGAACTAACATTTATTGCATGCCATCTGTGTGCCAGGCACACATCTCCTGGACCACCCACACTACAGCCCTGTGAGGCAATGGTATGTCTTTGTAAGTGGGGAACAATGTATTTTAAGTAATTAGCCCTAGATCATATAGCTGGCAAGGGGTAGAGCGGACATTAAACCAAATCTACACCACAAAGTGCTTGCTCTTTTTTATGTTTCTTCTATTTTTGGCTATAATAAAAGATTATTAAAGGAAGTAAGGATATGTAGAGACACATCACAAACCGTTTTCAGTGTTGAGAAGGCAGCTATGTTTTCCCATAAAATGTTGCCTGGTGCTAACCTCAAAGATAAAATATTGGAAAGGATATACTCTATGGCATTCCTCAAATCACTGTGTCTTTAAAATTTTAAGAACTTTGTCTAGTTCAAAGAAGATTTCTTGAGCCCTGGCCAGTTTGGCTCAGCGGTAGAGCATCGGCCTGCGGTCCAGAGAGACCCGGGTTTGGTTCCTGCTGAGGGCACGTACCTCGGTTGCAGTTTGTCCCCAGCCCTGGTTGGGTTGTGCGGGTGGCAACCACTCGATGTGTCCCTTTCACGTGGATGTTCCTCTCTCTCTCTCTCCCTCCCCACTCTATCTGAACAAAAAATGGAAAAATATCTTCGGGTGAGGATAAAAAAAGGAAGATTTCTTGAGCAACCATAGATTGCAAAGTATTAGGCAATAACCTTTAATATTAAACTAATTCTTTTAACAATTTATGGTATTATGAATGTGAGATATAGAATATTCACTATCCCAGAGCATCTTGAAAGAGTAGTATATACTCTCTTGTGTCACCTGCTCACCTCCATTAGTATCCAACTCCCTGCATTCTGGCAGTTGCCAAAAATGATTTCCTTATTATCATTTGGAAAAATCTGACCCATATCTTAACTTGAACTTTCTGCAGCCATTGAAACAGCTCTGTTTCCTTAGAAATTCGCTTCTCCTTTGACATCTATAATACCACTTTGACCAGATTCTCTTCTTTTTTTCTGTCCATTCCTTCTTAGTTTCCCATTCTGGTTCTTCCTGTTACGCCCACCTTTTAGCTGTTATGATTTGTTTCAAGACTTTTTGGTACTTTTTTTTATCTTTCTTTAAACACTTAGTACTCCTTGGGGAATTTCATCCATTCCCACACCATCTCTATTTCCAACTTAGGTTTCTATCCTGAACTTCAGATTTATGTTTCTAACTACTTCCTTTTCTCCCTCTATAAAATTATGATGCCTTTTAGGGATATTGTGAAAATTAAGAGATGTTAATCTACCATGCTGCTTAAAAACACTCCATACTTTTCAGCAGGTACTAAATTTAATTTATTGCCTATCTCCCCAATATTTTTCTCCTCTATTGTTCATTATCTCCAGGATGACTTTGTCCAGTTATTAATCAAGCAAAAACTTGGAATCACCCCAGATCTTTCTTTCCCATATTCTCTGTACCCAAACATTTTATGCTGACAAGTATAAGTCCTAAATCTGTCAAATCTGTTTTCCTGTTCATTCCCAATACCGCTACCAGTTCAACCCTGTTTTTTCTCTTATCTAATTATTTCAACCACTTATTTTTCCTGCCTCTGGTACCTTTCTTCAATTCACACCTTGTGTATGAGCTGTCAAGAGTTGAATTGCAAATCTGAGAGTGTCACTATCCTACTTAAATCCTTTAGTTGATTCTAATGATTCAAACTTATTAGCGTGATATTTAAATAAGGATCATTATGATTTGGCCCCTGTTGGCCTTTCTGCCCTCATTTCCCCCTCTTGAGTCTATAAACCCAACATCATACCGAACTCTTCCAATATGTTATCTTAGGCCTTTATGCTATACATGTTCTTCCATCTGCAGTGTCTCCTTTTGATTGCAGAAATCATGCTTTTTATTTTTTTTAAAGAACTTCTTTTCATTAGAAAAGTACATCATAGGAAAATTAGGAAATATAAAGTTGATGTAAGCATGATTGGCATTTCTATTCATGTATTATTTTTGTTACCACAAACAGATAAGTTGTTGCATTTCATTCTTACTTCATTATACCCCTTCCCATTTCCTACATAAAGCTTGTTATAGGCTCTCAAAAAATGCTTACTGAATGCAAAGTGTAAATAGAAACCAACCTAAATAAATTAAATGACTTGTCCAAGATTTTATAGTCCAGACTAGAACCCAGGCCTCTTTACCCTCACCTCATTGTTTTTTGTAATGCTATCTGAAATGAATGGTATCAAGTAAGAGAAAAACAGAAGTAAGTCATAGATTTATTTTTTGTTTCCAAATTTGATCAGTATATGTAGAGTAGCAGTCCATTTAGAGTTGTTATTTTTTAAACTCATTTTTTTAAGGTACAATGAAAGCCTTCCATGCTTTCTGTGTTGTCCTTTTGGTGTTCGGGAGTGTCTCTGAAGCCAAGTTTGATGATTTTGAGGATGAGGAAGACATAGTAGAATATGATGATAATGACTTTGCTGAATTTGAGGATGTCACAGAAGATTCTGTTACTGAATCTCCTCAACGGGTGATTACCACTGAAGATGATGAAGATGAGACCACTGTGGAGTTAGAAGGGCAGGATGAAAACCAAGAAGGAGATTTTGAAGATGCAGATACCCAGGTAAGTTTCCTTTTTATTGATTTCTTGGGAAATTGGAAGGATGGGAAAATTTATAATTAGCACTTTTCCTAGACATTAAAAGTAAGACCCAGGTCTAGGGAGACTGTTACTCTCTGATAACCTTCATTTTTGTTTAGTAGGTGGAGCTCTTCTAAATATTTTGTGGTGTTTTCCCACCTTTCACATTGATGGAAGAATGAAGTGTCTTTTTCTCCTCTATGGAAAGCCCTCTGTATGTGGGTGGGAATTATATCATTTAGAACTCAGGGTTCAAAAGTATGGAGAGTCATCATTTGTTAAAAACATGTACTAACTCTGTGTTCTGTGCTTGCTGCTTACATGTTCTGTTTTCCTCTACAACTATTGCCTACAAAAATGAGATACAATTGCTGGCGACATTTGTAGGGAAAAACAGATTGTGCCTCGTTTTTGTAGGAAGGAGATACCGAGGGTGAGCCATATGATGATGAAGAATTTGAAGGTTATGAAGACAAACCAGATACTTCTTCTAGCAAAAATAAAGACCCAATAACAATTGTTGATGTAGGTATATAGGATTCTGAATTTCAAACTAACCAACAAAATATCTTGCTGTTATTAATCCCAGAAATATAATTAGTGTAGAAATATAATACATGTAGCTGGTGTTGACGTAATAGTGGGAGCTATGAAAGAGTGACCTCAATTCTTCTGATAAAACTCCACACCTAGAGACACACCCCTATGTTTTTATTCTAGCCCTCATAGTTTTATTTATCAATGAATGATGAAAATGATAGACATTGAATTATTTTGGGGTGGGACTCAGAATCAAGTTTAATACAAAGGGTTTTCCATCTTTTTATCCCATTTGACTGTCCTCATGTTTCATTAAAGAGTCTTTTACAAAATCAACCTAGAACATCAAAATGGGCATGTTTTTCAAAATATAACCATATTTAGTGACATTTTTCTAAAGTATTCACTTCTGTTTATGAGTTTTCTCATTCTCCTTCATCCCATGAGTTAGACTCCATCCTTCAGCCTCAACCAGCATTAAATGGAATAATTGTTCTTCTTTAGGTTCCTGCACACCTCCAGAACAGTTGGGAGAGTTATTATCTAGAAATTTTGATGGTGACTGGTCTGCTTGCCTACATCATGAATTATATTATTGGGAAGAATAAAAACAGTCGCCTTGCTCAGGCCTGGTTTAATTCTCATAGAGAGCTTTTGGAAAGCAACTTTACCTTAGTAGGTAAGTTAGGCTAATAAAGTCCTGCTGCGGGCTTGAAAACCACCTACTAAGAACTGTTTATTCCCTTCAGTATAAGCATCTAACTGCTTTCACACACTACCGAAGAGGATGTTTTTTTCTTTCAAGGATCCCATTTTTGTTAGGTTTTAAAAACATTTTTTTAATTGATTTTTAAAGAGAGAGGAAGGAGAGGGAAAGAGAGATAGAAACATTAATGAGAGAGAACATCAGTTGGCTACCTCCTGCATGCCCCACACTAGGGATTTGGCCCACAACCTAGGCATGTGCCCAGTTCAGGAATTGAACCGGCAAGCTCTTGGTGCATGGGTCGACACTCAATCACTGAGCCACACCAGCCGGGCTTTTTAGATTTTATATTGTATAAATTGTATTTATGAAAAAATTTTCTCATCTGTTATTAATCAACAGTTGCTAAACAGCTTCTGATTAGAATGAGATAATCAGTGTTATCAAAACAAGTTAATAAGAGTCTGGCCCTTTGAAAGCAAGGAATTTTGACATTTTAAGTAACTTGATAAATGCTTCCGGTTCATCTTTTAGAAATCAGAAACCCCTCAGAATTCCCTCAGGTTTTGGGCACTTGAGTTTCAAATCCACAGAAAAGATATACACTGTAGTACATTTGAGGAGTCCCTGTGGTTGTGTAGTGTAAGGAGTAAGGTGGACTTACCCACCTTCACCTCTATTTGGCATTTTACATTTTGTTTCCCATTAATAGTAAGCAAGTATCCATCTGCTCTGCTCTTTAGCAGACTGTTTATGTGTTGTGCTAGGTATTTTGCATATATTGTTTCTTATTTAAGCTTTGTAACAATACTGTCAATTGGATAGTTTCAGTTTTCCTAAGGAGGAAACTGAAATCCAGAAATGCAACCATGATATTAAACCTCGTCTGCATGCTTTCAACCTGCATGGTCTCTCAGAGGTACCATGTTATTTCAGAGTAGTTTTTACATGGACATTAGGAAAATAATAAGCAGCCTTTAATGCCTTCCACTTCCCCTTGTGTGTTTTCATTTGGTGTGTCAGATTTGCTTTACCTTGAGAGGCTGAACAATTTCTTTCGTACACTTAAGTAAAGGGAGAAAATGGTTGGAATATGATCTTTATCTAGATCTAAAAGACAGCTCTTAATACCACTGTTAAACCATTTTGCTGTTGAAAAAGCAGACTTGGTTAAAGTTAACTCAGGATGCTCTGGCCAGTCGCTCAGTGGTTAGAGCGTTGGCCCATGGACTGAAGAGTTGAGGGTTTGATTCCCAGTCAGGTGTATGTACTTCGGTTGCAGGTTCGATCCCCAGCCCTGGTTGGGGTTGTACGGGAGGCAACCAATGGATTTATCTCTCTTACATCGATATTTCTCTCTCCTTCCCTTCTTCCCTCCCTCTCTATCTAAAAATCAGTGGGAAATATCCTCAGGTGAGGATTTTTTTAAAAAGTTAATTCATAGGAGACATGGTGAGGGAGTGTTAAATAGTTTGTAGTAATGGTATTTTTTTATTCACTGCATAGGTGTATATTTTTTAACTTTTGGGAGAAACATTGAACTGATTTTGCTCCATTTTTTATCTACTCTTAAGAAATTTATACTCCAAGCTGATTGGCATTAACTAACAAGGACATAGAAGTAATGCTAGGGTCTGAATTTTTTATGGAGACAGTAGCATTTTAATAGTAAAAGGAACAATTCCCCTCTGTCGTCATGTCCAAAGGATAGTTCTATATGTTAGCAAAGTATTGCCACCCTAAAACTGTGATCATTGTGGGGTCAGGGTGGAGGAGGCTGTGGTGATTAGGCCTCACCATTTTCAGAGAATCGCATTAAGTGGTTTTACCTCTAGGGGATGATGGAACAAACAAAGAAGCCACAAGCACAGGAAAGCTGAACCAGGAGAATGAGCATATCTACAACCTGTGGTGTTCTGGTCGAGTGTGCTGTGAGGGGATGCTCATCCAACTCAGAGTAAGTGGGGAATTTCTAGTACAATGTATATGTCTTCCTTTTGTTTTTTTTCCAGCATAATTCCAAATTCTCTTAGTGTCTCATCCTTTCACGTTTGACTTAAAATGACATCTAAAAATCATCTTTCTACTATTAATTAGCCAATGTCAAGTATATTTGAAGCATCTGATTCCCCTTCCAGGGTCTCTTCTTTTAAGTAGAAGTTACAACTGTTCTCTTAATTTTTTGTTTGTTTGATTTTTTCAGTTCCTCAAGAGACAGGACTTATTGAATGTCCTGGCCCGGATGATGAGGCCAGCGAGTGATCAAGTGGTATGTATTCTTCCTGCCAGTTTTCTCTGTACAGATTGAATTCTTAACTTCTTAGAACATATTCCATTTCTTGCTTGGATTCTGTTTGTAGTTTCTAACAACTTATGTACTTTGCCAAAAAATGGACCCTTTTTTATTTGACAGGTCATCTTCCACTCATTGTGCAGCTATTGGTGGTTTGGGGGTACGTGTGATTAGGTCAGTCACCAGGATAACGTCTCTTTTTTTTTTTTTATTTATTTATTTTTTTTTTTATTGATTAATTTTTGTTACAAATGATTCTCCTTTTTTCCCCCAGTGGTTCCCCCCTCCCCCTTCCCTCCCCGCCCCTTCCCCCGATTGTTGTCCATGTCCACTGTTCATGCCTATATGCATATAAATTCTGTTGTTCATCCCTCTCTCAGCTCCCCACTCCTTAGGGGATTGTCCTCAAACTGTTATGTTCATTATATTCCAGAAATCAGTGAGATCATATGAAATTTGTCTTTCTCTGCTTGGCTTGTTTCACTCAGGATGATACTTTCCAGGTCCCTCCATGTAGTCTCAAAGGACAAGAGATCTTTCTTTCTTACCGCTGCGTAGTACTCCATTGTGTATATGTACCACAGCTTTTTAATCCATTCGTCTACTGATGGGCACTTGGGCTGTTTCCAGATCTTAGCGATTGTAAATAGTGCTGCTACAAAGATGGGGGTACATATATTCTTTCTGATTGGTGTTTCAGGCTTCTTAGGGTATATTCCTAGAAGTGGGATCACTGGGTCAAATGGGAGTTCAATTTTTAATTTTTTGAGGTGACACCATATTGTTTTCCATAGTGGCTGCACCAGTCTGCATTCCCACCAACAGTGTACTAGAGTCCCCTTTTCTCCACACCCTCGCCAACACTTGTTGTTTGATGATTTGTTGATGGCGGCCATTCTGACCGGTGTGAGGTGATACCTCATTGTTGTTTTGATTTGCATCTCTCTGATGATTAGTGATGATGAACATTTCTTCATATGTCTCTTAGCCATTTGTATGTCCTGTTTGGAGAGGTGTCTATTTAGTTCCTCTGCCCATTTTTTAATTGGATTCTTTGTCTTCCTTTTGTGGAGTTGTGTGAGCACTCTATATGTATTGGAAATTAACCCCTTATCTGATATATCATTGGCAATTATGCTCTCCCATACAGTGGGTAGCCTTTCCGTTTTGATGGGGATAACGTCTCTTGATTAACAGCAAAGTCGGCTGATTAGGGACCTTCTGCTATACAATATAACAGAGTCATGAGAGCGATATCCCTTTGCGTTTACCAGTCCTACTCACATTCAAGGGGAGGATGTATATATACACCAGAAGGTGGGAATCTTGGGGGCCATCTTAGAAATCTGCCTATCACAGAACCTAACAAGGTTTTTTTGGTTTGTTTTTTAAAGCAAATAAAAGTAACCATGAATGATGAAGACATGGATACCTATGTGTTTGCTATTGGTACTCGGAAAGCCTTGGTGCGACTACAGAAAGAGATGCAGGATCTGGTATGTTGAGTTGTTCTACTTAAAATATATGTAGAAACTGTTCCTAATTATTACATAGACATTCAGCTTTAGAGCATAGCATAATTAACCACTTTGAAATGGGTCAGTACATATTCTCTTGGGAAGAAAAGTCTGTGCATAATAAAATGCCATGTCTTATTTTCAATTATTTCTTTCTCTAGAGTGAGTTTTGTAGTGACAAACCTAAGTCTGGAGCAAAGTATGGACTGCCAGACTCCTTGGCCATCCTGTCAGAGATGGGAGAAGTCACAGAAGGAATGATGGATACAAAGGTAAATGTAATAAAAGGCATACATTTGCAGACCTTGGCATTTACAGGGCACTCTCCCTAAAAGTCACACTGTACAAGTTCTTCATTTTATGACAATGTACTGGTTATGTATTCCTTCCCCACAAAAACATAATGCTGTTTTATTGTTGTTGTTAATCCTCATCCGAGGATATTTTTCCATTGGTTTCTTTTTTTTTTTTTTTTTTTTTTAATATAAAGTGTGGCGGGGGGAGAAAGAGAAATACTGGTGTGAAAGAGACACATTGATTGGTTGCCTCCCGCGCAACCCCAACTGGGGCCAGGAATCGAACCTGCAACCCAGGTGCATGCCCTTGACTGGGAATTGAACCCGTGACCCTTTGGTCTGCAGGCCAGTGCTCCAACTGCTGAGCCAAACTGGCCAGGGTTTTAATACTTTCTTAAGTAACAGATTAACTTGTCAAAAAAAATTTGATGAGTGAAGAAGTTCTCTCTAAGTCACGAACAAATTGTTCCTAGGATTGCTGATGGCTTTCAGGTTTTTTTGAAAAAGGACTAAAACTTTAATCTTTGTCACCATGTCATTTAGTCCATTATTTTAGTTTCAACTAGTATAAGAGAAGAGGGATGTGTAGAGAGCCATTTTTTTTTTCTATTGGTTGTATAATGGCAATAGTACATCTTAGTATAAAAATGTAGGAAAGCTCAAAGACAGTTATAACTGTCAGTTCAAGGTGATGTGTTTATAAAGAATCTCCTGGAAATTATTTAGAGTCTATCTCCATGCTTTCATTCTTATTTAGAACATTATTTTGAGACGTATTTTCAGCCGCTCAATAAGAATAATTTAAGCATTGGTGTTACTAAAAAACAGGTAGTAGTTTCACTGTAGAGAAATTCCTTATCTTATTTAAGTTTAATTTTTTAAAAGCTTTCGTTTTCAAGACACTATACAAAATTAAGGAGGATTAAAGATATCACCCGGCTGGTTTGGCTCATTGGTTGAGTGTCAACTCATGCACCAAGAGGTCGCTGGTTCGATTCTAGGTCAGGGCACATGCCCAGGTTGTGGGCCCGATCCCCAGTGGGAGGCATGCAGGAGGCGGCCAATCAATGTTTCTATCTCCCCCTCTCCCTTTTTCTCTAAACTCAGTAAAGAAAAAAAACGTTAAAAAAAAAAAGAGTATCTTTATGAAAAAAGGAAAATGCATCAAACCCTACTTTTTTTCCCCTTTATTGATTATGAGAGAGAGAGGGAGAGAGAGAGAAACATGGATGAGAGAACATTGATTGGCTGCCTCCTGTGTGCCCCCCACTGGGGATTGGACCCACAACCTGAGCATGTGCCCTGACCAGGAATCGAACCAGCGACCTCTTGGTGCATGGGTCAGCACTCAACCACTAAGCCACACCAGCCGGACTCAAACCCTACTTTCAAAACAATAATCTTCTCTGTTTCAGATGGTTCACTTTCTTACACACTACGCCGACAAGATTGAATCCGTTCATTTTTCAGACCAGTTCTCGGGTCCAAAAATTATGCAAGAGTACGTATGAAATAAAAATGTTCAAAATGATTTTCTTTAGCTTTCTGTGTTGAAACACCTTCAAGATGCTTCTGCAATTTCCCTAACCAAATGAGTGAGGGAAGTTCTTGACTCCCAAGTTTTCTTTTGCTTTGACTCTTGAAGGTAGTTGGAAGGGTATGGGAGACAAGCCTCCCCAGTTTGTATGTGTCACTGCACGTGTGCACCACACACAGTGATGTGGAAGAGACTCAGACAAAATGGCTAATACTAAGAGAATGCAATTGCTATCTCTTTGTACTTTGTAGTCTAGGTTCTTTTTCTATTTATAATATGAATCTATAATGTTTGATTTATGTTTGTAAATTTGGCCTTTTCTGGCTTCCTTCTATTTATAGTGGATGATTATATTCCTTCCTATTATATTATCAAATACCCTCAATACCCATCGAGTTTCTGGCTTTATAGTAACATTTTTCAAATGTACATATTCAGCCCTGGCCGGTTTGGCTCAGCGGTTAGAGCGTAGGCCTGCGTTCCAGAGAGACCCGGGTTCGCTTCCTGCTAAGGGCTCATACCTCGGTTGCAGTTTGTCCCCGGCCCTGGTTGGTCATACGGGTGGCAGCCACTTGATGTGTCCCTTTCACATCAATGTTTCTCTCTCTTTCTCTCTCCCTCCCACTCTATCTGAACAAAAAAATGGAAAGATGTTCTTGGGTGAGGATAAAAAAAAAAAATGTACATATCCAGGGCTTGAATTTGTTTGAGTTCATGCCTTGTTTCAAGAGAGCATACTTATTTAAGTTTGCCCTTGGTGTAGAAATGGTTCTAACCTTAATTTTTGTTTAAGGTCTACTGTCTCATAGGCTATGGAATTGAGTAAAATTAAAAGCCATTCTGAATTTTCATTGTATGTCGGAATTACTTGGGTCCTTTGGCTTCTAGATGGTGTTGCACCATCCTTGACTTGCTTGACTCAGTATCAACACTGGGCAAAGTACCTCATTATGGTAACTATGGAACCTTTTGGTGTTCGAGCAGGCAAGTTGATAGTCAAAGATTACAAGGGAATTTTTGGTGAGTTGGAACTAAATTATATATGCTATAGTAGGTTATTTCTAACTTTATTCTGAGCTTGGCTCAAAAATAAGATACTTCATTACAGGAAGGAGGATAGAATAGGAGTTGGAAGTAGAACATAAAAACCCATCAAAATAATAAAAACATTATTAAAATATGCGCCTCATACTTAAATATAGACTCATTTCTGCTTCCCCAGGTAAGATGGACTAAATCTTGCCTGGAGGGGACATCACTGGAGGCGGTTAAGTATAGGATAAAGATCACTTGGAAATGCATTCGTCAGGTAGACAAGTGGATCAGATGATGTGTAAAGCTCCTTCAGGCTCTGAGATTATATTTGACTTGGGGATGCCAAGCAAATACTGTGCTGATTATTTGTAGGTATCTGTTCATCTAAGTGAACTGGTTAATTTATATGTATAGAGAATATCTTTCTAAATAGCCTTTTCTTTTATAACAGGGAAGGTCAGCCTTTAAAGCTACCTGAAACTAAGAGGACACTACTGTTTACATTTAATGGTAAGTATTCCATGTCCTGTCTGGGTTCTTTGTTTTCTGAGAGATGACCTTAAGGGAAAGTATTATTCCCTCTTAAGTGACAGCTATAAAAAACTATGTTAAAACTAACCTCATGGTGCTCGCTTCGGCAGCACATATACTAAAATTGGAACGATACAGAGAAAACTAACCTCATGCCTGCTTGCTGCCTTTGGATTTCTTTAATAAGAAATCCTTATATATTTTAACTTCTTTTTTCTGCTGCATTTTAACTGCCTAAGAAAATTGAGAAAGGAGTTTATTAATAAAAAAAAAAAAAAAGAGTGGTGACTCAGAAGAGTATTAATGCTGCTGTTAACTCAATTGGAAAATGACTTTGTTTTCCAGTGCCTGGCTCAGGTAACACTTACCCAAAGGATATGGAGGCTTTGCTACCCCTGATGAACATGGTGATTTATTCTATTGACAAAGCCAAAAAGTTCCGACTCAACAGAGAAGTAAGACCCGCAGCCTTTAATTATAAGTTGGCACTTGTTATTTTTTCCTCTGTGGGGGTCATCTATCAAGGATTTCAGTAGTTGTATCTTTGTTAATTTACTTGCAAGTGCTAAATGGGAGTAGTTTTATGTATGAAAGAATACCAAATGGGATTTTACTTCTGCTGGATTAAAATGGATTTCTTTTTTTTAATCCTCACCTGAGGACATTTTTTCCATATTTTGTTCAGATAGAGTGGGGGGGGGGGGAGAGAAACATTGACGTGAAAGGGACACATTGAGTGGTTGCCACCTGCACGACCCAACCAGGGCCGGGGACAAACTGCAACCGAGGTACGTGCCCTTAGCGGGAACCGAACCTGGGTCTCTCTGGACGGCAGGCCAACGCTCTAACTGCTGAGCAAAACCGACCAGGGCTAAAATGGATTTCTTATGAAATTCTTTGTTTATTGGGAAAAGGGCAAACAAAAAGCAGATAAGAACCGAGCTCGAGTTGAAGAGAACTTCTTGAAGTTGACACATGTGCAAAGACAGGAAGCTGCACAGTCTCGGCGTGAAGAGAAGAAAAGAGCAGAGAAGGAGCGAATCATGAATGAGGAAGATCCTGAGAAACAGCGCAGGCTGGAGGTAAGACAAATTTTTCGTATCACTGGGGTAAAACTAAGATTTATAAGGATACCTATTTGTACCACATTGGCTGTTAAGGTAATTTTGTGGAGGAATGTACACAGGTTAACAGTTGAGCATTTTCTCAGTACTTGGAACATTAAGTTAGTTGACAGCACCATGAAGAAGAATAGGGCTTCAAACCATGTTAGACTGAATCTGAGCCTGGAGAATGATATGAATTATCCTATTCCCCAGCACAATCTCATTTTGCAAGTTACACGATCACCTTTCCAGCCAAATACTGACGTAGAAAGAAATTGGCAATTTTAATAGAAGCCAGCATGTGCACCCTATGGTCCTAATAAACTTGTTTTATAACATTTTAATTTGATTATAGAATTAGAGAATTCTGATATTATTTTGTTTATATTTTTGGTGTTTCTTTTGTACATAACTAAAATCTCAAATGCAAGAGCTTTTTAGACTGTGGTATGTTGTTTTAAACATTAGCATGTTCTCACATTTTTGTGAAATAAGGTGCCATAGTCCAACTTTGAAATTTTAAACCTTATAAATTCTAGTCAAAAAAAGAAGAGGAGCCCTGACCGGTTTGGCTCAGTGGTTTAGAGCATCATCCCATAGACCAAAGGGTCATGGGTTTGATTCCTGGTAAGGGGAACATACCTGGGTTGCAGGTTTGCTACCTGGCCCCTGTCAGGGTTGTTCATGAAGCAGCCAATTGATGATGTGTCTCTCTCACATCAATATTTCTCTCTCTCCCTCTCCCTACCTCAACAACAAAAAAAAGAGGAGGAGAACAAAATTGTGGGGAATGTGAATTTTTTTTTTTAATCCTTACCCAAGGATGTTTTCTGTTTATCTTCAGATAGAGGGAGGGGGCGGGGGAGAGAAAAAGAAACATTGACATGAGAGAGACATATTGACTAAGGTTGCCTCCTGCATAACCCTGACCAGGGCTGGGAACAAACTGCAGCTGAGGTACATGCCCTTGACCAGAATTCAACTCTCGACTCATTGGTCTCCGGGCCAATGCTCTAACCACTGAGCGACCGGCCAGGGCGGAATGTGAATTTTAATGAGAACAATCTAGAGGATTGAAGAAAATTCTTAGAAGTATAGGAAGCATGCTGCCAAGTCAAAGTGAGCCACTGTGTGGCTCTTCAGTTGCCTGTGGAGTTATTAAAGCTATCGAATAAAGTGCCCAGGATACCACAGGCTTCCTCCCATCTTATCATTTCTCATCATTTTTTTCTTTGGTTTGGTTTAGTTGATGGGTATTTTCCCCTGAAAATAGAGTTCTGTGTTTATGTAACCTTCTGTATAAATAAAAATGGCTTTTTAAATAATACACTGGAAGAACCTACATGAAATCATTAATAGATAATGCCTTTCATTTTTTCATGAAAAAAGTCGTTCTTCAGTTCTTTCTAGAGTTTGAAACTACAATAGGTTTAAGAAAAAAAGGAGGGCCCAGAGCTTGTCAGAAATGAACTGACCTTAATTCTACCATGTAAAAATAACATACCCTTTAGACAACTCTCATGCTTAGAGGTTAACACTATATAATTTAATTCCCCAACTCTATATATGTTTAGTGTACATATTCCTTTTCTTAATGTAGATTATCTTATAAACAGTGTCCTACAAATTTTTATATTAAGAATATGAGCCCTGGCCGGTTTGGCTCAGCGGTTAGAGCATTGGCCTGCGGTCCGGAGAGACCCGGGTTCGGTTCCCGCTAAGGGCATGTACTTCGGTTGCAGTTTGTCCCCGGCCCTGGTTGGTCGTGTGGGTGGCAGCCACTCGATGTGTCCCTTCATGTCGATGTTTCTCTCTCTCTCTCCCTCCCACTCTATCTGTACAAAAAAAAAAAAAAATGGAAAAATATATCCTCGGGTGAGGATTAAAAAAAAAAAAAGAATATGAAAGTCTTTCAAGAATGTATCTTTCCGTATTTGTGCTTTTATTTCCTGAGAAAGAAGAATCCTGGGAGAGAAAGAGAATGATAGGCTGCCAATAAGAAGTTGGATCAATTTATACCTTTACTAGTATGTGATATGAGAGCTCCTCTATACTCGTATCTCTATGACAACTGGTTCTCAGTTTTTTATTTTTTTTAAGTATTTTTATTAAGTTGTTTTTTTAATCCTCTCCTGAGGGTATCTTTTTACTGATTTTAGAGAGAGAGGAAGGGAGAGGGGGAGAGAGAGAAACATCGACGTGAGAGAGAAACATAGAAACATAGATGGGTTGCCTCCTATATACACCCCAGCCGGGGATCAAACCTGCCACTCTTCAGTGCGTGGGACACATGGGGCGATGTTCCAACTGAGCTACACTGGCCAGGGCTAGATCTCAATTTTTTTAATGTATGATTCTGATAGTGGAGAAATGTTATCTCGTGTATTTTGCATTTTTTTAATTATTACTGAATTTGAACATATTTTGTATATTTTTAAACCTTAACATAAATACGTTTCTTAAATACATTAAATAAATTTCTCTTAACCACTATGCCATATTCTGTATATTGATAATTTTACACATGTATAGTATATAATATAGGAAGGGATGGATCGAGTTGAGGAAAGAATGAATATGATGGAGGTAGAGATTGGGACAGTGGGGAAAGAGGACCTTGGGACAGTACTTTGACCACTTCATATAACTGTCCCAGAAGAGTATAGCTCTTGATGTATAGGCTTTTGCTATTTACCTGCTCCAGTGCCCTCACAGGAGGCAGCAGCTGCCAAAGAGGGGTGGGTTCATTCCTGCCTTTGTGAACCCAAACTCAGAATTCTTTTTCCCATAAAAGCAGCGCTAACAATGATAGTTCAGTTCTTCAGGGTGCTTATACAATGGCACAGCTATGCATGGATAAACATTCAGACTTTTGCTACTAAATAAAATATGTAAAAACTCCTAATTGAACATTATCATGAAGTATTATGCTCAAGTACAGCATCTATGCGAATAAGAAGAGAGTTATAATTAATAACCTGCTCAAACAAAATCTTATGGGGTCCTGGCCAGGTGGCTGTTGTTTGGAGCATTGTCCCAATATGCCAGGGTTGTGGATTAGATCCCTGATCAGGTCACATACAGGAACCAACCAATGAGTGCATGAATGAGTGGAACAGAAAATTCCTTTCTCTCTCAAATCAATTTTTAAAAAAAGGTCTTATTGCCCAGCTGGTGTAGTTCAGTTGGTTGAGCGTTATCCCATGCACCAAGAGGTTGCCAGTTTGATTCCCAGTCAGGGCACATGCCGGGGTTTCGGGCTCAATCCCCAGTTGAGCGTGCAGGAGGCAGCCAATTGGTTTCCCTTGCACATTGATGTTTTTCTCTCCCTCTCCCTCTCTCTGAAATCAATAAAAGTGTATTTTTAAAGAGCAAAAGCATCGTATTGTTTTTTGAACTGAAGTACAAATTCTTGGCAAATACACACAATTGTTATGATGAAAGTTGAGCTAGTGTTCCCTGGGTGTAGGAAAAGCCAGCTTATATGTAGTATTTAGTTTCTTTCTAACTTGAGATTGTAGTTACCTTTGCTTCATTTCAAGTTAATTTTTGTTAACCAGCATAGATATTAGCAATTTTATAACTTTTCTGAATGTTACTTGTGGTGTAAGTCTAGGTTTCTGAATAATATTATAAGTAATATTCTAGTTTTTATTTTTAAATATGTTTTTATTTATTTTTTAGCACGAGAGGAAGGGAGAGAGAGATAGAAACATCAATGTAAGAGAGATACATCAATCAGCTGCCTCCTGCACACCCCTTCTGTATTGAGCCTGAAACCCTGGCATGTGCCCTGACTGGGAATCAAACCGGGACCACTCAGTCCACTGAGCCATACCTTCTGGGCTAGTTTTTATTTTTATTTTTAAAAACAAACGTGCTTAGAGCTTAGTTTGGATTTTTTTCTCTCTCTCGCTTTCTCTCTGTCTTTCTCTAGGAAGCTGCCTTGAGGCGTGAGCAAAAGAAATTGGGAAAGAAGCAAATGAAAATGAAACAAATCAAGGTGAAAGCCATGTAAAGTCATCCCAGAGATCTGAGTCCTTGTGCCACCTGTAAGCTCTGAATTCACAGGAAATGTAAAAAATACCAGTCCACTTCTCATCTTAAAGTACAGACACTCCCAGTAACTGAGAAATCCTTATTTCATCATCTGTTCTGTTTTTGGTTTGGAATTTTACAGAGGCTAGAGATACATTGGAAGGACTCTGTATAGTAATTTTACTCCAGATAATCAAATTATTTTGATTATTTTATGAAAGGAATGATACATGAACTGTGTGTAGTTTTAAAATACTTTTAAAGTTATAACATGAATCACCAGTGCTTTTAGTGCTATATTATATTTGAAGAAATAATCATGAATTTATAGATATACAATTAGATTGTTGCTTTTTGTTTAAACTAGGCAGTTGAAATGGCTATAAAGAATGACCCTAAAACAAGATTCCACCAATAACTGTTGGAATTACACAATAAACATTGCTTGGTGTTTTCTTCTGTGTCTACATTAAACTTATAAAAAAATAAAATTTAGAACACTATCTGTGGTATTGAAATTTCAGGGACTCAAAACAGTGTAGTTCAGTGTATGTTTTGTATGTTTGGGGTGCTCATGACAGTATTATAGGATATCTGTAGATACTAGGGTACTGACATGTACATGGAAAATTCTAGGGATAGGTAGTACAGGAGCACAGTTTTCTCCTTACCTGATACCATAAGCTAATGACATTGTGAATGCTGTATTTTAATGTATGTTTTTCTTGAGTAACAAATGCATGAAAAGTTAACTGCTTCACCTAGAGCAGATCCGTGGTCTACATGAAGTCGTAGATGTATTCCTTCTTGGTTGCCGCACCCTATTGGATGTTCATAGAGAAGCTCTGTTCTCTGTGTTGTGGCTGTGTCCCTTTGCTTCTCCTCCTGCATTTATTTCTTCCACAGCTGAGGCTGGGTATATTCTTTCAGAGAAATAGCCATGAATATGCATAAATAGACTTTTTAAAAGGAGCTTTCCTAAACTATTGAGAGTTCTTTCTGCCTTTTGAGAAAGGAACTCTTGGGGGAGAGGCCCATTTATCTGCACAAGCATTTAGCTTGTTCAGATCTCTGCATTTTATAAATGCTTCCTACTAAGAAAGCATTTTTTTAAGTCACTGCTTTACCAGATAATTTTTGCTGGGGAAGGGAAAGGGTTGGGTTTTTTGGTGGGAGAGGGGTGGGTGGGTATTTTTTTGCTGATGCTTTATGTGCAGGTGTGTTCTGAGGCAACAACAAGTTGCTGTGGAGACAGAATGTGTTGCTGCCTTTGTAACTGCATGAAAACTTTTCACATTGTTTTTCTCTAGGTTAATGCAGAAATGCGACAATGGGGAGATGCAAATGTAATTTTTTAAACAATTTGTGAAATTAAGTTATTAAAATAACAAATATAACAAAATTTAATGCTATATAGCTCTAGAATTAGCCTTGTTTTACAAACCTTTAAAATACATTTTAGAAATCAAAATTGGCGTGCTTAGCTCTTTTGATTAATAAAAGCTTTCTTAAAGTCCCACACATTTGGACCATGGCAGCTAATTTTGTAATTTAATCATTCATATGAATGGTATCCTATGGACATATATTAAACTCATTGACAAAAATCTCAAAGAGTGCCGCCTTTACTTTTCTGGGGTTTCCCTACAACAGTATAAGCCATAAGAATGCTTTTTCTGTTCAATAAAAATCAGCACTGAAATGCTTTTCCTTCAAAAGAGTTGGCTTTGACAAGAATCCCTTAGTTGTTGCCAGTTATTTTTTTAATGTTTTATTTTTTAGAGCTCCATATACTCCCTGAAGTCCCCTCCTGAGTTAGGACACCATCCTCTCTCCTAGGAATGGGAGGAGAGAGAGAGAAGGATGTTATTGACTGTCACACATTGGAAAACCATTAAGTCCTCCAATCTTGTCTATGCTGCCTGGGTACTTAGCAATGACCAGACAAGTCCTGGACTGGAAAATAAAACCTGGCTTTTAGTGCCAACAAAACCAGTAACGAATCCTTTGACTTTGGGCAAGTCACTAACTAACCTCTTTGAGTCTCTGTTCTGTTCTTCCTTCTACAAAGTGAGGCTAGTGATTATTTTCTCTACCTACCTCACAGGTGAAAACAAAATGTTAGGGCTGTGCCCTGGCCAGGTGGCTCAGTTGGTTGGAGCATTGACCCATGCACCAAAAGGTTGCAGGTTCGATTCCCAGTCAGGGCATATACCTAGGTTGTGGGTTTGATCCCTGGACAAGGTGTGTACGGGAGGCAACCATTCTCTTTCACATCGATGTTTCTGTCTCCTTTCCTCTCTCTTAAAAAAAAAAAAAATCAATAAAACATATATATCCTCTGGTGAGGATTTTAAAAAAACGTTAGGGGCACTCTCCCTCTCCTGAACATGCCCACGCCTTTCCCATTCCCGACTTCTTCCCCCAGGCGTGTTACCTTTGCTTTTCCCTCTCCTAAGCTCCAAGGGTCCTTTGCTTCTGAACTTGTTTCCTGAGCTTATGCAGCTCAGCTGGCTCATTTCCATTATGTAACTTTATAAATAAACTTTCTCTTATAATTTGAAATAAAAACAAAAGTGTGGCCCTGGCCAGTTTGGCTCAGCGATTGGAGTGTCGGCCCATGGACCAAAGAGTTGCGGGTTCGATTCTGATCAAGGGCATGTACCTTGGTTGCAGTTTGGTCCCCGGTCCTGGTTGGGGTCATGTGGGAGGCAGCCAGTCAATGTGTTTCTCTCACATCGATGTTTCTCTCTCTCCCTCCCTCCCTCCCATTCTTTCTGAAGATAAATGGGGAAAATATCCTCAGGTGAGGATTAAAAGACAGAGAGAGAGAGAAAGGAAAAAAAAGGAGAAAAAAATGTTTGTAAATGTGCCTTTTGGGGTTACCTCTGTTGGTTAGAGTGTCATCTCCATATGCCAAGGTTGCAGGTTTGATCGCTGCTCAGGATACATACAAGAATCAACCAGTGAATGTATAAATGAGTGGAACAACAAATCCATTTCTCTCTTTCTCTCTCTCTCTCTCTCTCTCTCTCTCTCTCTCTCTCTCTCCCCCCTCTCTCTCCCTCCCTCCCTTCCTCTCTCTAAAAAAAGATAAGATAAAAATAAAAATGTAAGGTATCTAGGACTATTTTCGAAGTTGTACATTTTTGCTTTACGCTTACGTTTCTTCCATTGGAAACTAAGCAGATCCTTTCAGAGTTCTCTAACTTTATCTGCAAAATTTGACAGCATGTCTCTTTGTGGAAGAGGGTAATACTTGATAATTCTGTTTCCTTAGTAATAGAATCTTTTCCTGTCAAGTACCAAGATGTGAATCTTTTTTCTTCAGATGGGACTTAAACCAAAGAAAAACATTGACTGGTATTCTCACTTCACTCATCCATTAGGAATGGGCAATGTGAAAATGTATTAGAGCAGTGTCTATAAGGATCTATTTTGGTGGGAAGGGTGAAATACTCTACCAACCTGGATTCTCTCTCCTTTGTCCCTGCCTCCACACATTTTGAAAGGATGTAAGGGGGAGACAGTTATACCCATAGGAGTGGTTTCTATTACAGACTGCTAAAACAATAGCAAAAAGTATTACCTTTTTGTCTGGCTGGTGTGGCTTGTCCCATGGGCTTAGAGGTGCAGGTTCAATTCCAGGTCAGAGCAGATGCCTGAGTTTCAGGGCTCGATCCCCAGTGGGGGGCGTGCAGGAGGCAGCTGATCCATATTTCTCCTAAAAAAATTTTTTTTTATCCTCACCCGAGGACATTTTTCCATTTTTTGTACAGACAGAGTGGGAGGGAGAGAGATGAAGAGAGAGAGAGGGTAACATCGATGTGAAAGGGACACATTGAGTGGCTGCCACCCGCACGACCAACCAGGGCCGGGGACAAACTGCAACCAAAGTACATGCCCTTAGTGGGAACCGAACCCGGGTCTCTCCGGACCGCAGGCGGACGCTCTAACCGCTGAGCCAAACCGGCCAGGGCAGCTGATCCATATTTCTATCGCTCCCTTCCTCTCTTTAAAAAAAATCGATAAAAAACTTTTTTAAAGTATTTTTTGAGTTTCTGGAGTTTGGTGATCAGCAAAAGATTTATTTGTGTTTGGAAGAAAGTGTAATGTTTTTATCTTTGCGCAGGTTGAATGTCATTATCTCAGCTCCATGAACTGGGAAATAAAACCATTTTCAGAAGAAAACTTTTTTTTTTTTTTTTGAAAGGGAGAAACTTGTGTGTACTACTATACCATTTTTACTGGATATTATTTGTTTTTATTTTTATCTTTTAAAATGAACTGACCTCTTTAATTTCACCTATTTCGTTTTATCCAAAAGGGTGTGGCTCAGTGGTTGAGCAGCACCAAGAGGTCACCGGTTTGATTCCTGGTCAGGGCACATGCCCAGGTTGTGGGCCAGATCCCCAGTGGGGAGCATGCTGGAGGCATCCAGTCAATGTTCTCTCTCATTGATGCTTCTATTTCTCTCTCTCTCTCCTTTCTTCTCTCTCTAAAAATCAATAAAGAAAAAAATTTTTCTTTTTAAACAAAAACAAATAAGGTAACATTTATTTAAAAGCCACCCAGGCCTTTTTAAGTATTTAGTTCCATGGGAATTTTTTTGAAATCAGATAATGTTACATCTGCCCAGGTTATTTATTGTATCAACTCTACTTGAGGGAGAACTCAACTGCTTTAAATGCTTAAATAACTTTCTTCTACATCTTTTTCTTGCATGTAACTGTATCACTTAGCAAGACTGTAGCAAAGCAAGAATCGAAGCCAGTTTTCTGCTTCAGGAAAGAGCCCTGAATTTGTGGGCAGGGCTTTAGTAAGTCTGTGTCCTCTTCTATAAGTGAGTATTATCTACTCTTCCTTTTCCTAAAATGGATGTTCAGAGGATCATATTAGATAACACGTATAAACTGCTTTGACACATAAAATGTTGTGCAAATTAATCCCGCTCAATTTGTTAAACTACACATCATAAGCCTTTCACTTGAGTATTCTAGGCTATTAGTTTTACCTCTCACAGTTAATTTATGTAGTGTCTTGAAGAGGATAGTGTACTTAGTTTAAACTGGATGCTCATAGTTAAAAACAAAACAGGATCTTCAGTCCATCTCCATTACTCTAGGCTTCAAGCCAGTTTCAGAAAACCAGAAATCTTGGAGAGTCCCAATTCTTATAAATAAGTGAAAGCATTTAGGGTGCTTGTGCATCCCAGGGCTCATAACAAATAAAAAGCAAAGCAGGAACAGGCTGACTTTGTAAACTCTGAAAGTTGACCTTTCCTTACAATGCTTTTCTAAATTGTCTGGATTTAGGCTGACCTTTTGCAAGGAAAACTAAAACTAATAGAAATTTGCTCCTTGAAATAGAACAGAGTCTGGGCCAAAAGGTTCCGTAGCTTTTGTGGGCAATCAGGAAGATCGTGAGATCTTTCAGACCCCTTGGTAGACTGCTACCCAGATAGAAAATGACAGTTACTGGGCTAGGTATTAGAACAGATGGTAAAGTGGGAGGGGGAGAGAGAGAGAAACATCGGAAGGGACACATTGAGTGGTTGCCACCCACACGACCCAACCAGAGCCGGGGACAAACTGCAACCGAGGTACCTAACCTTAGAGGGAACCGAACCCAGGTCTCTCTAGACTGCAGGCAGACGCTCTAACCGCTGAGCCAAACCCACCAGGGCAAAAAAAAGAAAATTGAATGAGATCTTGAGGTGCCTGTCGGTTCACAGGCAAAATTCACCTTCAGTCTCAACATATTTCCATTGGTGCCTGTTTGTACAACTTCTCCCCCACCAATATAAATCTGTATCAAGGGTCAGAGCTGGGGAGAACCAGTGTTCATTACTTAATTGTACATATCCAATTTCAGAAAACTGCCCTCCTCCATGGTTGGAGTAAGTCACTGAAGGAAAAAAAAAAAACCAAAAGGGAGACCATTCCATCACTTGAGATTGCTTCATCATTTCTCAAGCCCTGCCTGCTTTGGCTTAGGCTAAACTTCCTCATCAAAGCAAACCTTACAGGTTTCTGCGGAAGGATCCAGGGAAAAAATGACTCACAGGGCTAAAAATGATAGTTCGCATTAGTTGAGCTGCTTCCCTCCTTTTACAGGTAAGTAACCTGAGCAGAGAAAGGGTGGTTTTCCCCTTTGCAGCTTGTCAGTTGTGGGGGAGGCCAAAATGAGGGCATTTGAGATGTTTTTTTAAAAAGCGTACTCAGTTGGTTAGAACAGGAGTCCACACGCCAATGCTGCAGGTTCCATCCTTGGTCAGGCACATACAAGAACGGACCAATTAATGTATAAATAAGTGGAACAACAAATTGATGTCTCTCTCTTCCTCTCTCTCTAAAATCAGTTTTTTAAAGAAGTGTACAACAGGTTTTTCCACTTAAGTCCTACCACACAAAAATAAATTCTCAAAGTAACCAAGTTAGCACCCAGTGTTGGTTAGCCTCAGTCTAGTCCCCTTAACCCTTCATTATTGAAATCATCGGACTTGCTTCCTGCTGCAGCGGCAGAAGCTCTGGGGGGAGCCCTTTACGGACCCCACAACCCTCACCCACAGCTAGGTCTTTGGCTTCCACCCACTTGGGGAACTAGGTCCCTTCCGTTGGAGACTAAATGCCCTCAGTCACGCGCTGCGCGGAGTGAGATAGCTGGTACCCGAGAAGCGGTGTGGGGGAACCACCCCTCCGAGACGCCCAGGGAACTAGACGGAGCTCCCCACCCAAGCAGGGCGGGCCGGGAAGGGTGGAGCGTCCCCGCTTTGGCGGGCCGGTCCGGGAAGGGCGGAGCTTTCCCACCCTGGCGGGGCGGGGCGGGGCGGGGCGGAGCTCTCCAGCTTTCCCGCGGCCCCTCTAACTGCGCATGGCACGTAGCGTACCCCCTCCCAGCAACCGGCCTGGCGGCGGCAAGGCCATAAACTAAGGAGGCGGAGCTGAGACGCGGTCCCGACTGCTTGCTAACTTCAGGACCAGGTACCGGACTGGCGGGGCCGCCTGGTGCGTCCCAGCGATCATCAGTCCATCCTCTCCCTGACGACTCCGATTCCATCTTCTCGGGGCGGGCCTTGTCAGACCGGCCATCCCAGGCCCCCTTTCACCCGAGTCCTCGATTCCCTCCGTGAGGGGCTGCAGCCTGAGTGCAGAATGGGCTTGGGCCTGGCGGGGAGACCCCGGAGAGGAGTTACTGGGCGGGAGAGGCGAGCGCCTCCTTTCCCACCCCTTCTTCTCCCCTGACTTCCAGGTGGCGAACCTGGGGCCCAGGTTCAGGTTGTCCTAGAGAAGCGAAGAGGCGGCAGATCCTAGTCCCTACCTCTCCTGCTCCCCCCCCTCCCCATCTCTTCCCAGGCTGGACAGGCAGCTGGTGGAGACTCCGTAAGGACAGAGATTCAGGTGATTCCCTGAATCAGCCAAAACAAAGAGCTTCTAATTGTCTTATGTTCCAAGTATGTTGAAGTGTCCACAGTAGATTTGGGGTGGAGATTGGGGGTGGGGGTAGGGAAGTGACTGCGAGAAAAGGGGCGTGGTTAAAGTAGTTCAAGTTTTCAGGAGATGGGGCAACTGACTTCGCTGCCCAGCCTTCTGCTAAGATATCCTAGCACATCCTAACTTTATCCCCAAAGAGGACAAGCCGTTCGAATTGGTTGAAGTAGAACCATATTCCAGAAGGTATTTGTGACATTAGGCAGTTCTTCATCGACTGATTCATATGTTCTAGGGACGCCAAGGTTGTTTCCTGTCCCTGAGAGTTGAAGAAATCGAATCTTATCTGATTACTTGTCCCAGGCCAGGAGCCTCTTCAGCCATTAATTACAGTGCTGAACTGGTTAACTCTGTTCCTCCACCCTTTAACCGGGTTTCTTAGAGGCTTTGTGGCCCAAATGCGGTATTAATCGTTTTAACCCCAGACATGGAGGAAGTTTAGAAAACCAGTGCCAAAAATAGGAAAACATGAAAAAAATTAAATCAAGATAAATGAATTCTCCTTTCTGTACCATTTGTCATCTGCTCAACAGCATTGTCGAATCAGGTGACGCCTTCTCAGTCATCACTAGATTTTTACACACAAGTCTTGACAGGTCTCCTTAGGCTTCTCTGGTTTCTGGAGCACAGTCATTGGGCCAGATCTAATCTGTCCTTGACCTCTTGCCTATGTGACTTTGGGTGTTTAACCTCTCTGAGCCTTAATTTCCTGATCTATAAAACAGAGAAGCTAATACTTATTGGGAACTCATCTCTGTGAATGAAGCATTTAGCACAGATCCTGGCACATAGTAAGTTCACCATATATGCTTGCTGCTGTTATTATTTTTACTATTATTAATTTAGCAGATACAGAAGTGCCCATATTATGTGTTGGGCACAGTAGCCCCTGGGGATGCAACAGTGAACAAGATCATTCCCTACCCTCAAGGACTCTCTAGTCTAGTGGAGGAAACTGGTAAATAGGCAATTAGGAGTGTGGTAGATGGAAGGGTTGAATACAGAGGCCAAACACCGAACAGGTGGGAAGGGAGTTAGGGATGACTTCCGGTAGCACAGGACACCTAAGAGAAACAGGTCAGAGTTAATCAGGTTGGGAGAAGGAAGCTGGTTCTGAAGGGAAAGCAGGATCTTGGAAGTTTTTGCTTTGGGCTCCATTTCCTCACTGCCTTTCAAGCGCCATGTTCTCACTATGGACCTCCCTAGGCTCCTCCCAGCCTTCTGCTTTTCTCGCACCTTTTTCTCCTTTAGTGAATTGTCACTTGTGTAGCTTTAGCTCCTAACTCCGAACTCCGCATAGCCATCTCTAACTTCTCTGTTGAGCATCAGTCTTAACTTTTTTAACTGAATGCTGAAATCTTGAAATCTATGACTGTTTTCTCAACTGCAATATGATTTAAAAACTTGAATTCATCTTTCCACCAAAACCATTTCCACCTCTGAGCTTTCCTGTTTTGTCATTGACACACTGCTATTTTCCCAGTAAGTTACTTGAGCTAGATGTCTTCTGACATCCTTACAAACTAAATATAAATTCTTTAATTTTTCTTCTCCCCTATTTGTCTATTTCTTAACATTTCCTCTGTCACAGGCCCTTTCACCACAAATGTGGTCCACTATAATTGTATTCTAACTGGCATTCCTTTCTCTGGGTTATTTTTTTTTTATCCTCACCTGAGGACATTTTTCCATTTTTTGTTCAGACAGAATGGGAGGGAGAGACAGGAAGAGAGGAAGAGAGAAACATCCACGTGAAAGGGTCACATCGAGTGGCTGCCACCCGCACAACCCAACCAGGGCCAGGGCCACACTGCAACCGAGGTACGCGCCCCCAGCGGGAACCGAACTCAGGTCTCTCCAGACCGCAGGCTGATGCTCTAACCACTAAGCCATACAGGCCAGGGCTCTCTGGGTTATTCTTATACACACCCCCTTCCCATCCCTCCACAGATAAGCAGCATTACCATTATCTTATTAGAACCACCAGGTCTCCCCACAGACCTTCTGAATCAAAATCTGCATTTTAACAAGATCCTCAAGTGATTTGCACATACAATAAAGTTTGAGAGACACTACCTTAGACCACATGTTCGTGTTTGTCCCCTTTCTGTTCAAAACCTGCAGTAGCTTTCTTCTGCCTACTGAATAAAATCCATACTCAAGCATGCACTTAAGACCTATTCATTGTTCTCATATATGTGGAATTCTGTTTCTATAACTGCCCCCGCCCCATTAAGTGCTGACATGCTTTTCAGCACGTTTAGTCAGTCATTCAATATTACTGTGTACTACTATGTGGTGGTAGGCACTATTCTAGAAACTAGAAGATATATACACCTCTGGACAAGACAAAGTAAGCAATAGATAATCAGTAGCTAATACTATTTCAAGCTTAGAATTCACTGAAGCCCCACCTCTTCATGAAACTGTCCAGATCCATCCCTATTCCAGTAATCGTTTTCTTTGCTGAACTCCGTTAGGGGTTGCTCTTTTCTACTTATGCATCCCCAGACCTCCTGAATTAACATTTTTGAAGGTGGGAGTTCAGGCATCCATAGGTTTTTTTGTTTTCTTTATTGATTTTAGAGAGAGAAAGGGAGAGGAGGAGAGAGAGAGAAAAAGGGAGAGGAGGAGAGAGAGAGAGAAACATCGATGAGAGAGAACATTGATTGGCTGCCTCCTGCATGCCCCCTGCTGGGGATCCAGCCCACCACCTGGGCATGTGCCCCAACCTGGAATCCAACCAGTGACCTCTTGGTGCATGGGTTGACACTCAACCACTGAGCCACACCGGCCGGGCCATCCATAGGTTTATATAACTACACAAATTAATTTGAAATGCATCCTAATTTGGGACCTGATGGTTCAGATCAGTAATAAAGCTGTTGATGTGGCAACCTAGAACCAGTTCTTAGGTCTCTCTAAATGGTCAGTTATATTCGTTTACGCAGTGTTTCAGAATTGACTTTACTTTTTATTTCCAATGTTTTCCTATAGCATAGACATTTCTTTCCTGTGGATAAAACTCATCTCTTTATCTACATTAATATTCCCTTTTCTTTCTGTTGTAGACTACATGTGGGTATGGACCTTGTTTCCTCTTAAATTTTTTTTACGTGATACTTTGTGTTTAATGTTATTAAACAGTATGCATTCTAACAAACTTTAAAATTCAATTTACAGTTTTATTTCATGATAGGATAAATGATTCTTAGCATGCTGGGGGCTTCTATAAGAAGATTAGGGCAGGAGTGAGAATAAATGCAATTTGATAAAAATCTATAGATCAGTTTGAAGGGCCTATTCTCCCCTAGACTGAGAAACATTGCTTTGATTTCTCTGAAGCATTTCTAAGGATTCCTCGAACTCTACAGACCAGACTAAGTCCCCACCCCCATTGCTATATTACTACCACAACCCCTCAAAACAAAGAGAGAGAACTATGGGATTTTTTTTCCCTAGGTTCTTCAAAAGCATTTCTGATTATTTATTTTAGTCATTTTACTTTTAAATCAACTTTACATATTTTTTTGTTTGTTTTTTTATCCTTACCTGAGGACATTTTCCCATTTTTTGTTCATATAGAGTGGGAGGGAAAGAGAGGAAGAGAGAGAGAGAGAGAAACGTCGACATGAAAGGGACACATCGAGAGGCTGCCTCCCGCACGACCCAACCAGGGCCGGAGACAAACTGCAACCAAGGTACGTTCCCTTAGCGAGAACCGAACCCGGGTCTCTCTTGACCGCAAGCCGATGCTCTAACTACTGAAGCAAACCGGCCAGGGCTCAACTTTACATATTGAGATATAGGTTACCTACAATAAATTACACCTACTTTACCCTGGCCTCGTGGCTCAGTTGGTTGGAGCATCATCCCAGACAGCAAAAGGTGGCAGGTTCAATTCCAATCAGGGCACATACTTAGGTTTCCGGTTCAACCCCCAATGGGGGGGTGTGTGGGATGCAGCTGATCAATGTTTCTGCCTCACATCAAAGTTTTTCTCTCTCTAAAAATCAATGAAAAAACAGCCCTGGCAGGTTTGGCTCATGGACCAAAGGGTCTCGGTTTTGATTACCGGTCAAAGGCATTTGCCTGGGTTGTAGGTTTGATCCCAGCCCCAAACAGTGTTTTGCAGGAGTCAGCCAATCCATATGTCTCTTTCACATCTATGTTTCTCTTGTTCTCTCGCTCTCTCCCTCTCTCCCTCCCTTTTACTCTGTCTGAAAAACAGTGGAGAAATATCCTCAGGTGAGGATTAACACACACACACACACACACACACAAAACATATGCCCTGACCAGGGGTCAGACCTCAACCTTCTGGAGTACGGGATGACACTCTAACCAACTGAGCAACACTGGCCAGGGAAGAAGTTTTAAATTTTAATAAAGTGCCATTGATCATATTTTTCTTTTATATTTCATGCTCTTGATGTCTTTTTTTTTTAATCTTTACATATTCCAAGATCATGAAGATATTTCTTCTCTGTTTTCTTTAGTAGTTTTAACTTTTTCTTTAGTTCTTTGATCTATTTTAAGGTGTTGTGTTTTTTTTCCAAATTTTAATTACAGTTGACATACAATATTATATGAGTTTCAGGTGTACAACATAGTGACTAGACATTTATATAATGAAGTGATCACCCCACTAAGTCTAGTACTCATCTGATACCGTAGATAGTTATTACAGTATTATTGACTATATTCCCTATGCTATACTGTATATCCCTGTGACTTTTTTATAACTGGCAATTTGTACATCTTAATCCCTTCAACTTTTTCACCCATCTCTTCAACCCCCCTCCCATCTGCCAACAATCAATTTGTTCTTATTTCAAGTTAATTTTTGTATACGGTGTAAGGGAAGGATCGAGGTTCATTTTTTCTAAATAAATATTAAGATTATTTTCTCCCCAGGGGATTATTTTGGTTCTTCTCTTGAAAATTAATTGACCACATATGCATGGGTCTATTTCTCTATTCTGTTCCATGGGTCCATTTGTCTATCTTTAGACTGAAATACACTATCTTGATTATTGTAGCATTAAAGTAACTCTAGAAAGCAGATAATGTAAATCTTCTAATGTTGTTCTTTTTCAAAATTATTTTAACTAATTTAGGTCCCTTGTATTTCCATATAAATTTTAGAATCAACTTATAAATTTCTTTTTAATTTTTTAATTTAATTTTTATTTTTTTAATTCTCACCCAAGGATATTTTTCCATTGATTTTTAGATAGGGTGGAAGGGAAAGAGAGAGAGAGAGAGATTGAGAGCATGAGAGAGACACATTGATTGGCTGCCTCCTACATGACCCCAACCAGGGCTGGGGATCGAACCTGCAACCCAGTTACGTGCCCTTGACTGGGAATCCAAACCCACAAACCTTTGGTCCTCGGGGCGACTCTAACCATTAAGCCAAATCAGTTTTTTAATTGATTTTTTAGAGAGAGAGAGAAATATCTATTTGAAAGAGAAACATCTATCAGTTGCTTCCCACAGGGGCCCTGATACCTGGGATTAAACCCACAACCTGGGTATGTGCCCTGACTGCGAATCAAATCCGCCAACTCTTGGTGCACGGGATGATGCTCCAACCAACTGAGCCACACCAGCCAGGGCTCATTTTCTTTTAAAAACTCTGCTGAGATTTTGATTGGGATTGCAATGAATCTATAGATCAATTTGGAGAGAATTGATGTCTTAACGATATTGTAACTTTCAGTCTATGAACATGGCATAGCTCTTATTTAGATCGTCTTTAATACCTCTTAGCAATGATTTATAATTTCAAACATACAGGTTTTATTTTTAATTTATTAAAATTATTCCTTCCTGGCCAGGTGGCTCATTTGGTTGGAGCACCATCCCGTACACCAAAAGGGTGCGGGTTTGATTTCTGATCAGGGCACATACCTGGATTGTGGGTTCAATCCCTGGATGGGGCACCTATGGGAGGCAACCGATCGATGTTTCTTTCTCTCTCTCTCTCAGATCAATAAAAACAAATCCTCTGGTGAGGACTTAAAAAAATAATTATTCCTGCTCTGGCCGGTTTGGCTCAGCGGTTGGAGCGTCGGCCTGCGGTACAGAGAGACCCGGTTTGGTTCCCGCTAAGGGCACGTACCTCGGTTGCAGTTTGTCCCCGGCCCTGGTTGGTCGTGCGGGTGGCAGCCACTCGATGTATCCCTTCACATCGATGTTTCTCTCTCTCTCTCTTCCTCTCTCTCCCTCCTGCTCTATCTGAACAAAAAATGGAAAAATGTCCTCGGGTGAGGATAAAAAAAATAATAATAATAATTATTATTCCTACTTATTTTATATTTTTGTTGGTGTGGTAAATGGTATTCTTTATTTTTATTTATTTATTTATTGTTATTTTCTATGTGGTGTGGTTTTTGTGTTTTGTTTTTTTTTTAATATGTTTCTATTGCTTTTTGGAGGGAGAGGAAGGGAGAGAGAGAAAGAAACATTGATCAGCTGCTGCTTGTACACCTCTACTGGGGATTGAGCCTGCATCCTGGGCATGTGCCCTGACCAGGAATTGAATCAGGACCTCTCAGTCCATGGGATGACACTCAATCCACTGAGCCACACCAGCCAGGCCAGAGCAGACATTCTTGACTTCTGTTCTTAGAGGAAACCCAATCATCCTTTTTACCATTCAGTATGATGTTAGCTGTAAAATTTTCGTGCGTGTCTTTTACCAGGTTGACTTGGTAAAATTCAATTTCTATTCTATTTCTAGTTGACTGAGAATTTCTTTAAAATCGTGAGTTGATGTTGAATTTGTCAGATGCTTTTCCTCTATCTGTTGAGATGATTTTATATTTTTTCTTGTTTACTCAGTTAGTAAAGTAAAATTACATTTATTCATTTAAAAAAATTTGTTAAAATTAGTTGTTATTTATTTGCAAACAACTTCAAACAAACACGGTTTTGTATACATACATTGATTCATTTTTTAATTTTAAACCAATCTCATTCCTGAGATAAACCCCACTTGGTCATGAGATACTAGACTTTTAGCCTCTCTAAATATAAAATTTTAACTGTAAATAGCAAACATAAAATAAGATCAGGATGATGTGAAAAAAAGAAACATTCAAGAAATGGAAAAAGCTCTTGGAAATGTGTAACCAAAATTTAAAATATAGCAGAAGGGTTGGAAAATAAAGTTGAAGAAATCTCCTGGAAAATAGAGAGTTATAAAACAGGAGTGAAAGAAATATAAAATTAGGGAATAAATCTAGAAGTGCATCTTTATTAAGAATTCTGTAACATGAGAACAGAGAAAACAGAGGAGACAAAGTTGTCAAAGAAATAACACAAGAGCCCGGCCTGTGTGGCTCAGTGGTTGAGCGTTGACCCATGCACCAAGAGGTCGCTGGTTCGATTCCCGGTCAGGGCACATGCCCAGGTTGTGGACCTGATCCCCAGTAGGGGGCATGCAGGAGGCGGCCAATCAATGTTCTCACTCATCAATGTTTCTATCTCTCTCTCCCTCTCCCTTCTTCTAAAATCAATAAAGAAAAAAAAATTTGAAAAAAAGAAATAACACAAGAACGTTTCAAATAGAAAAGTGCAGATGGGCTAGAAAGCAGCAGGAGGATGGAGGGCCCTGGGAAGGCTGTCTCCAGGGGAGTTTGAGTGTATGTAAACATATTGGTAAGACAAATAGCAGAGATGTTGAAATGTTTGGAAAAAGTTAATAATAGCTAAATGGGAAACCAGGGAGTGAAAAAATGAGGTAGTTATTAAATGGGTGCAAAGAAAGAAGACATGGTCATCTTTACCTGTTTGCCTCAGCTGTGTACCATGTCTGCACTGTCAAAGCAATGTGTACATGGGCTATTGATTTAACCAAAAATTATGCCAGAACCACATTGGAAGAATGAAGGCAAGAAAGTAGAGTGCAGGAAGGTGACACAGGAGAGCTTGGTCTTCATCTACCATGGTAGGAAGTTAGAAGATAAATGTCTAAAATGGATAAATCATGGCCATGTAAACACTGTTTAAGAATGATGGTGAAGCCCGGGACAATTTGACTCAGCGGTTAGAGCATTGGCCCATGGACCAGAGAGACCCAGGTTTGGTTCCCGCTAAGGGCACATACCTCGGTTGCAGTTTGTCCCCAGCCCTGGTTGGGATCATGTGGGTGGCAGCCAGTTGATGTGTCTCTCTCACATAGATGTTTCTCTCTCTCTCTTCCTCCCTCCTGCTCTATGTGAAGATAAATGCAAAAAAGTTCTCAGGTGAGGATAAAAAAAAAGAATGATGGTGAAAAGCAGGTTAAACAGCCACAAGAATAGAAGTTAATTGCTTCTGGGAAGGAGTCAGTGGGGACTGAGTCAAGAGAAATGTAAACATTAAAGAAGAAAACCGTTGCCCAGCCGGTGTGGCTCAGTAGATTGGACGTCATCCCGTGGACTGAGAGATCCCAGTTGGATTCCCTGTCAGGGCACATGCCTGGGTTTCATGCTCAGTCCCCAGTAGGGGGCATGCAGGAGGCAGCCGATTGTTTCTCTCACATTGATGTTTCTATCTCCTTTCCTCTCTCTCTAAAAAAGTCAATAAAAAACATATTTTAAAAAAGGAAGAAGAAGAAAACTATACAATAAACTTCTCCTTATAGAGATTGCAGTATTTCAGGATGTTCTTGGCCAAAGTACATCCAGGTCAATTGTCACTGAAAGTTTCTCTAAACAAATCTTTGTAATCTAGAAATTTAGAGGTTTAGTACAGTGCTTTGATGGCAGATTTGTAGTAAGTTTTTGTTCATCAAAAAGTATTTCTATAAAAGGACATTTGACTAACTCAACCTGTTTCTACTTTCCTTTTAGGTTTAAATTTTTGAAATTGAAATAGGTCTACTCATTAGGAACTCATGTCTTTTCTTGTAAGTAAACCAGAGCGAATTAGGGTGAGTGTTTCTATTCTTCTGGCTTTCCTATTTTTATTTTCTGAAAAGCAAAGTGTTTTGGCAGTTTTGTAGATGGTTTATTATGCGATGTTCAGAATCATGCAGAAGTAAGGGCTATGGGAAGTAAAACAGATTATTGCAGCCTCCACTCCTGAGAAGAGAGCTTGTAGGCAGAGGCTGACCGGAGATACAGAATACACCCACCAGCTTGTCTGAGAGAGAAGAAACAGGCGGTATATTTTGGGAATATCAATCATTCAACATTAAGTGAATTGAATGTGTTGGTATGTAACCACTAACGATCTGCCTATTTCCTATGTATTTTCTGGGAGTTTGTGTGTTTTAAAAATCAGTATTGAATTGTAATCATTGGAACACTTTTTTCTAAATATAATCATAGGTTTTAATTGAAATTTTTACTTAACATGAAAAATTTTATTATACCTGAAAACTTCACCAGCTAAAATGACCTCAAGAACAGTTACTGGATTTAGCTTCTTTTTAAAAAAATTTTTTTTCTTTATTGATTTGAGAGAGAGAGGAAGGGAGAGGGAGAGAGAGAGAGAGATGGAAACATCCATGAGAGAGAACATCAATTGGCCGCCTCCTGCATGCCCCTCACTGGGGATAGAGCCCACAACCTGGGCATGTGCCCAGACTGGGAATTGAACCGGCGACCTCTTGGTGCATGGGTCGATGCTCAACCACTGAGCCACACTGGCTGGTTTGGATTTAGATTCTTTACAAGGCTCTATGATTTCATAAAAGAGTATCATGTTTTATTTATTCTCAAGTACTTAATTTTCTAATGCAGTAGTAATTATTTTAAAATCTTGTTATGAGACATTATAAATATACCACTTTATGAATATACCACTTTCTTAAATATTAAAGTGACACAGTTTATTTTTTATTAAATATCTTGGGGCATAGTGCATGTGATATTTTTATATCAAGTTTTAAAAAAATTAAGTGGTTTTTTTTTTTTTTAATTTGGAAGAGAAAGAATGTTATAGTTCCAATTCATAATTTTTATTATGCAGCTTATTTCTGAATATTAATCTTTTTTCTCATATTTATATATATATAAGAACAATTTATATTGTAAAGAGTAAACTTCACTGTCGGTTAAGAGGAAAAACAGATTCTCTCCTTAGCCTGAACTCTGCCCAGTGGAAAGAGTGTCCTCAAGCCAAACTTTAACACCAGTCCTTAAGTGAAATGCAATCTTGATTCCATTGCTTTTAAATATGAGCTTCTTTTCTATTTCAACCCAGTCTGATTCAGGTGAAACCAGACCACTGATCAGTATGATGGAAATCCTATACTCGTTTGAAATAGGCCGGTAAAGTGAACCATGGATTGGTCATGCTAGTTTGGTCCTTGTGAAGGTAGCATTTGGTAGCAAATGTCAGCAGTGATGTCTTTAGAAATCCTAGTGGATGAAAGGATGTGCAGCTAGCTGTTTCCTTTTGCAAACTAACAGAAGCTTGTGAAAAACTACTGTTTCATCCCTGTTTTCTGTGCTGTGCATTTCAGTAGTACCTTTCAAATTGGCATTTATGGTTCTAAGCTGGCTGTAATAGGCACCATGGAATGAGTAAGATGGATCCAAAGGGTCATTTTATATATAGGAAGGAGAAAAACATTTGTTCATTATCAGGGCCGGTACTACGTGTTTCTCATCTGTCAGGTTTAAGAATTATTCATCGAATTAGGCAAAGAGGAATAGAGAAAGGAATTAATCTATTGTTTTCAGTTTATTTAAATCCAAGATTCTTTTAATAACTTTTGCATAGAAATGTATCTTAACTGTATTGCATGATTCTGTTTTTGTAGTTGTGTTTTGTTTGTCTGTCTAATGGCTGATAGCTAATTATTTTGTGGCTTGGAAAAAATACTAATTCTTTTTGGGGTTTTCCTCTTTAGCGGTGGGTCTCGGAAAAGTTCATTGTTGAGGGCTTAAGAGATTTGGAACTATTTGGAGGTAAGTACAGTATGGCATTTAGCCATCACTTCAGGATAAATCTCACTGCTCTTTTGTTGACTAAATCAATTGATAGAAATGAGCAATTCTAAGGGAAAGTGTAAACTATAATTGTCATATTTGTTTGGCTCCTTTTGAATCCATAATTTCCCAAAGATTTGAGAACTAACGTGGCAGTTGTTGTTAGCCTGTCTTGATTGTTAGAAAGCCAGTATTTACTCAAAGGCACATGTATTTCAGAATTCTAAGTACTTGTCCAATTGAAATACATACTCTTAAAGGAAAAACACTGAGTGTTATAAAACTATTAGCCATGATGATTTTAAAAATAAAATCATAGACAGGATAAAAATATTATTTTTATTTATTATAAAAATAAATTATAGTAGCAATGATATAAAAGTTCTGGTTTTACTGATCAGTCAAGTTGACTCATCTTTTCATGGTAGAAAGTATGAGACTTAAGAGAACTAAGGAAATAATCTGTCAAGACAAAAATATTAACTTCCTATTAGAAAACCTAAACGTTGATTTCAGAAGTAATTTAAGTTTGCAATTTGGAAATTTAACAGGCTTAGGCATTTTCCTTCAGCAGTTTAAAAATTGAGACTGTTTGGGAACTGTGATCTTAATTTATGGTAAATAAAATTCTTTTATATAAAAATAATAGCAGTAGAGCCCCATTCTGTGTGTCTGAACACCAGGATACTCTCTTTGGCACCTGTAGCTAAAGAAACAGGTCATCAGATTGAATGCACTGGGTAACAAACCTAGAACACCCCTAGATAGGCCTAAGGAATTGAAAGCTCAAACTTGTTAGTTGCTAGGTGATACCAATTAATTTATTCTCCTTAATGCCACTCAGCAAACTTCTATAATTGTCATATTGTAGTAGTATTCGTCAATTTTGTGAAAGGGTTGTGTTTTAGAAAAGTGAGAATTCAAAAAAATGATATTATTTTTGCTTTTGTTATAAAAAATAAAAATTAGCTGTACAGTAAAGGAAAGGCTAATGGAACAAAAATGCTATATTCTGGTCCTATTCTCAATTAATGGAAATTAATGGTCCTATTCCATCATTAATGGGAATACAGTGGTTTAAAGTAAACACTGGCACTGATGGAAATTGAGCTGGGAATCCAATGTATGATCAGTTAGTTAAAAATATTCCTGTATATGTGAATTGAATTAATGGATTTCGGTTTCAGTGTCTTGAGTGTAGGATCTCTGGCTGTCTTTTGACTGTCCTTGGTCTCTGATCTGAGGAGGATGAAAAGATTATTCTATATAGTGTTTGTAGCTTGATGAAGTATTTTACCAAGTTTTGTACAACTTGGAATTTGCCCTCTACTCTGGAAGATTGGGTTTGATTTCCTTTAATCTCTTACCTTTGGCAGACTGTTTTAAGCAACTGCTTTTGCCACTTGTATACCAGAAATCTGATGTCCAAGACAAAAAAAAAAAAATCTTATTTTGATAAATTGAGGCTAATTGACTCTGCAGCCAATCTCCTCCAGCAACACAATTGGATACTGTAATTTCTAATTTAAGATATTGGGAAATGTATTCCAATACTTGACAGTTAAAAATCTTGCTTTGATGATTATTATCACTTTTACAGAATGGAGAAAATCAAAAGCACAGATACAGAAATTGTCTGGCTTAAGAGCAGAAAGTTGTTTCAGTTGTCCTTTGCTTTATTCATTTTCACCAAGAGCAGCAGAGGGTCCCAGAGCCTTTGCTTATTTGCATTAAGAATAGAATGTCTGACTAGAGAATCAAATTAGGTAATGGTCCCACATATACATGTTGCTGTATTAAAACTTTCTTCTGTCTTTTTAAACCTGTTTTCTAGTCCCTGCACTCCCTGGGAAATAGGCAGCCATCACTATAACTTTATAATGAATTGTTTGTTCACAGTATAAGACTGAAACCAAATTATTGAAAGTAACATTGTATGCTGATGACAAGTCAATGTAAGACCAGAATTATAGCAGTTGCGTTATACTCAGTAAATACCCATAGAATAGGAGCCTGGCCAAGTTTTGAAGAACTGTAGGTTCCTGTTTAAAACCCATCTTATCTGCAGCATTTTTACTGTGGATCTGTGTGTGTGTGTGTGTGTGTGTGTGTGTGTGTGTGTCTGTGTGTCTGTGTTTATATGTAGCACTGCAGGCACTTTTCACTGTAATAACTCTTAAGTAGTTTCTATTAATAAATGTAGTCCTAAGTGCAGTAATTGCTGTTCTGAATGTGGGTATGTCTCCTACTAAAAAACAAAATGCCAACAACCCATTTCTCTACTCCAGAGCAGCCTCCGGGTGACACTCGGAGAAAAGTAAGTGACTTTCTAGGCTCTGCCCCTATGGCTGTTGCATGGAGATGACTTCTTGTGGGAATTTGTGTTTTGTTGGCTTATCATTTTATGTTACTGCTCATCTGTCATTGAGCTTTATTTGAAGTGTAATTCTTTTATTTGTGGACTCAGGTTTCACCCTGGAAAGATTTTGATGTAGACTGTGAAACAAAAATATCTAAGGCAATTTTTGTGTCTGTCCTGGGGATTAAGGTCTCCTCCCCTTCCCAACCTTCCCAGTCACCCACCACCCCCTCCAAAAAAGGAGAATGTTTCAACAATCTAAAATGTGGTCACCTTTTAGTGGCTAGTGGTTTTAAATTTTCCATCCCTAGTCTATCAATAATAGATTTTAGTCCTTAGAGATGATCTTGATCTCTGTCTAGATTATAAGGCAGGACCTCAAATCCTTTACCTTAAAAACAAAACCCAAAATTAAGAACTACAAAACAGAAAATGCTTTTTTTTAATTGGCAAAAGCTACAAGACTCTTGCCCTGCTTCCTATTCTTCTAGCATATTTTACCTAAGTAAATAACATTCGATGTACACAGTGCATCAAGCTATTTTTGATAATGTGAATCAGAGAGAAGATAAAAAGCCTTTTCTAAACAGACTTCCTATTTATTTATTTATATTGATTCACAAGAGAGAGGAAGGGAGAGGGAGAGAGAGAGTGAAACATCTATTCAAGAGACAAACATTGATGGGCTGCCTCCCAAACAGACTGAACCCAAAACCTGGGCATGTGCCCTGACTGGGAATCAAACCTGTGACCTTTCAGTGCACGGGATGATGCTCCAACCAACAGAGCCACACTGGCCAGGACGACTGCCTACTCTTTCCAGATGACAGACATTTGCACCTTTGCAAGCAGCTCCATGGTTGAGTGAAGGATGGCGATGTTGACCAGGAATTTCTCTTTGAGTAAGCATTGGCTGTGCTTACTTAGTCTGCTAGTCAGGAGCAAGCACCTCTCCATCAGATCCAAAGATTTTCCAGTTAGAAGACCAAAAATGTTTTCTATAGGATCAATTAGGTGTTTTTCCAGAATACAATGCTGACTATATATAATTTTTATAAATTTTCACAACTGCCAATGTTACACCAAAAAGTTATCCTGTGTGAAACCTGTGGGAGGTTGAATATGTTTATTTGGTGCATTTCATCAATATTGTCTTTGTGTGTTGTGTTATATTTTGTTTTGGACTCTTTAAACAAAGTTATGTTATATGGTCATTTCTGGATATCAATAGCTTATGTATTTTTCAAATGCTTTTAATGGTGGGGGAACTAAGAAAAAGCTTTGATAGAATTGGTTTCTTTCTCTAGGCCACTTGAAATAATGCACTACACTAATAAACTTATGGTGTGCTGTGTTTAAAGAGAATGGACTATTTCATCCTTTCCATGTGAATTTTGACCTTTTCTAAATCTGAAACAACATAATGAACTAACCTGCCTTTCTCGTGGCAATATCAAATCAGACCCCTTCCTTTCAAAAACTGCCTTGGTTTTTCTAAGTAGAGGTTGGTTTCTCTCAGTTCAGACCTAGAGGATCTATCTCCACAAAGTCGAAAGCCTCCAGCAACCACCAGGCTAGTTAGTTTCAGGCACTTACAGATTGCCCATGAACTCACATTCCCAGTTACCTACAGGGTTTTATTTTCTAAAACATTTCTGAGTAGTTTTCTATAATCAGCAAAGATAGTAGAAATATTTGTCAAGTTAATAACTAATCATGTCCGTAGTTTAATGAATCATTCCCTACCTAGACTCAAAGTTGCCTAGAGAAAAAAACCAATTCTATCAAAGCTTTTTTTTAGTCCTCCCCCCCCCCCATTAAAAGCATTTGTTTTCCATTTTGAAGTGTGTGTCAATAGAGTGTAGCCTAGTGGACAGTTGTTTTGTATGCACTCCTAGCAAGGAAGAGGGACATAGGTAATAAAAAAGTATCTATCTATAGTTTTTCCAGAGGAATTTATTTAAAATGTATGTAATAGCCCTGGCCGGTTTGGCTCAGCGGTTAGAGCGTCGGCCTGCGGTCCTGAGAGACCTGGGTTCGGTTCCCGCTAAGGGCACGTACCTCGGTTGCAGTTTGTCCCCAGCCCTGGTCGGTTGTGCAGGTGGCAGCCACTCGATGTGTTCCTTTCACATCGATGTTTCTCTCTCTCTCTCTGTTCCTCTCTCTCCCTCCCACTCTACCTGAACAAAAAATGAAAAAATGTCCTCGGGTGAGGATAAAAATAAAATAAAATAAAATGTATGTAATAGATACTTTAATCTCAGAACTCCAGCTGTCCTTCATAGTCTCTTTTTCTTTCTTTTTTTTAATCTTTATTGTTGAATGTATTACAGGTGTTCCTCATTTTTCCCCCATTGACCCCCTCCTCCCCACTCCCGTCCCCCTCCCATCTTTTCCCACACTGTTGTCTGGTGCCCATTGGTTATGCATATAAGTTCTTTGGTTTATTTCTTCCCACCCCTCAACCCCCTTCTCTTTGAGGTTTGTCAGTCTAGCAACCAATTTGTTCTTCTTAATCCCTTCACCTTTTTCACCCATTCCCCTAACCCCCCTCCCATGTGGCAACCAACAAAATGTTCTCTGTATCTATGAGAATGTTTCTCTTCTGCCTGTTCATTTTGTTTGTAGATTCCATTGTCGATAGATATGTATTCATTGCCATTTTGTTTGTTCATATATTTTATCTTTTTCTTCAAAAAGACCCTTCAACATTTCATATAATAACAGTTTGGTGGTGATGAACTCCTTTAACTTTTTCTTGTCTGGGAAACTCTTTATATGGCCATCAATTCTAAATGACAGCTTTGCAGAATAGAGTAATCTTGGTTGTAGGTTCTTGCTTTTCATCACTGAATATTTCTTGCCACTCCCTTCTGGCCTGCAGAGTTTCTTTTGAGAAATCAGCTGACAGTCTTATGGGAACGCCCTTGTAGGTAACTAACTGCTTTTCTCTTGCTGCTTTTAAGATTCTCTCTTTGTCCTGAACCTTTTGCATTTTTAAAAAAAAATTTTTTTATCCTCACCCGAGGACACTTTTCCATTTTTTTGTTCAGACAGAGTGGGAGGGAGAGAGAGGAAGAGAGAGAGAGAGAGAGAAACATCAATGTGAAAGGGACACATTGAGTGGCTGCCACCTGCACGACCCAACCAGGGGACAAACTGCAACCGAGGTACGTGCCGTTAGCGGGAACTGAACCCGGGTCTCTCTGGACCACAGGCTGACACTCTAACCACTGAGCCAAACCGGCCAGGGCCCTTTTGCATTTTGATGATGATTTGTCTTGGTGTGGGCCTCTTGGGGTTCATCTGTTTGGGACTCTCTGTGCTTCCTGGACTTGTATGTCTGTTTCCTTCACCAAGTTAGGGACGTTTTCTACCATTATTGTTTTAAATAGGTTTTTGATTTCTTGTTCTCTCTCTTCTCCTTCTGGCACCCCCAAGATGTGAGTGTTGACATGCTTGAAGTTGTCCCAGAGGCTCCTTACAGTATCCTCATTTTTTTTGGATTCTTTCTTTTTGCTGTTCTGATTGGGTGTTTTTTGCTTCCTTATATTCCAAATCTATGCTTTGCTTCTTGGCTTTACCTACTCTACTATTGAATCTGTGTAAATTATTCTTTATTTCAATTAGTGCCTCCTTCATTTCTGACTGTGCATCCTTCATTTCTGACTGGTCCTTTTTTATGCTCTTGAGGCCCTCAATAAGTTTGCTGAGGTTCTCACTAAGTTCATTGAGCATCCTTATAAACAAATAGTATTTTGAACTCAGCATCTGTTAGGTTGCTTATCTCCATTTCGCTTAGTTCTTTTCCTGGAGATATTTTCTGTTCTTTCATTTGGGACCTGTTTCTTTGTCTCCTCATTTTGGCTGCCTCCCTGTGTTTGTTTCTATGTGTTACTTAACGAGAGGTATGGGGCTAGCTGAGACCAGATGCTGCTTGTTTGAAAGAATTTAGGAAAACCTGAAGCAGGATCCAAGACAGGCCAATCCTATGGTTAAGCAACTGGCAATAGCTTGGGTGGGCTTGAAAGGTGGGTGGGGGCGGGGCCTCAGGGAGTCACCAGGGCGGGGCTACCAGTGTGGCCAGGTTGCTGGAGTCCCAGATATGGCGACTGTCTGCCGCCCCAGGGAAGGACTCACCAAAGGAACAAAGGCCTCTGACAGCACGTTTGTCCCGGAGAAAGCCCCCTCTCCAGCCGTCGCTCCAGTGCCAAACAGCTCAGTTCTTCCCTGTGTCTCTGGCGCCCCTCGAGCTGCCTCCCCTCCGAGCTTAGAGGGAGAGAGTCCGATAAGTCCGTGCGGGGCCCTTTAGGGAGCTGCCTGAGGCTCTGGCCGCCTCAGCCTCCCTGAGCCTCAGTTCCCGCTGGTTTTTCCAGCCAGAAGTTATGGGGATTCTCTTCCTGGCACTGGAACCCTGAGCCAGGCAGCTGGTGTGGGACGGGGACCCCTCAGTTCTCAGGGAGGACCTTCCCAGCCGAGGTGTCCTCCTGATTTTTTTCCACCACACGTGGGTGTGGGACCAGCCCGTCCCCTCCGCCCTCCTACCAGTCTGGATGTGGCTGCTGCTTTAATTCCGTAGTTGTAGGACTTCCATTCAGCTTGATTTCAGGCGGTTTTGAATGACGGTTGTTCTGTAGTTTAGTTGTAACTTTGATGTGGTTGTGGGAGGTCGCGATGTGGCGTTTACCTACCCACCATCTTGACCGGAAGTCTTCATAGTCTCTTTTTCAAATTAGAGAAACATTAAGGAGTTTGCCTGGAGATCAGAGGAGAGAAGACCTTCAGAAGGTCTAGATTTGTTCTTACTGGGACCATATTGTTACTTATTAAAAAATGCAGTATAGTAAGCCCTCACTTATTATGGTCGATAGGGTCTGCAACTTTAGGGGAAACAATGCATAACCGTAGGCTAATTGACATAAAAAAGGGTTAGAGTTACAGCATCTCATCAGTGTTATAACAAAACAACATTGAATGAAACGATGTTATTTGAGGGCCTGCTGCTGTACTTTCTCACATGCAGGAACAGATTCTGATCTGCCACGTGCCCCTAGTGAGTGTGTTATATGAGGGCTGTCATTTCCAGTATAGCTCCTTGTATTGAACCCTGTCTCCAGTGGGACTGGCCCTGCTCTCCTTTTCAGCCTGTAGGGATGATGAGGTTCTGGGCAGAAAGCCTCCTCAGTTCAAACTTTGCCCAAATGATTTTTTAATAAAATTTTTTTCTTTATTGATTTTAGAGAGAGAGGAAGGGAGAGGGAGAGACAGAAACATCGATGAGAGAGAACATCGATTGGCCACGTCCTGCACGCTAGGTATTGGGCCCACAGCCTGGGAATGTGCCCTGACCGGGAACCGACCCAGCAACCTCTTGGTGCATGGGTTGATACTCAACCACTGAGCCACACCAGCCAGGCATTAAATTATTTTTTAACGTCTGTGCCAGCATTGTTGTAGGCATTGAGAAATAATACATCAGTGAGCAAGACAGATAAGGCCTGTGCCCTCACGAAGCCTGCATCCTAGTAGAGAGGCAGGGGATGGATAAATAAACTGCAGTGGTACTTGCTGTGAAGAAAATCAAGCAAGAAATAAAGTGACTAGGAACCTGCTTTACTTTGGCCGAACAGAGTCTTCAGTGAATAAACGACATTTAAGTTGCGACCAGTGATAAGGAGCAAGCAGCCATGGGAAAATGGCAGGGGCAGGGAAGGAGCAGGGCAGCTAGTGCGAGTTTGCTCAGTCTGGAGTGACCGGACGAATGAGTCGGGAGGGTGCTATGGGGTGAAGTCCTAGCAGCAGGCAGGGACCAAACACGTGGATATTCACAGGCCAGAGGAGGGAGCTCGGTCTGAAAGCAGTCCCTTGGGTTTGTGTTAACTGGTGACGCTGATTTTATTGAGGAGTAGATTGATACGTGAGAACACAGGATCTGCAGAGCAAGAATATGTGCAGGGGGGTAGAGTATACGGGTAAGAAGAGGGGACTCTTCAAGATTAACTGAGTATGTAGCTTGTAAATCCTAAACAAATGGGGAGTCGCCATTTCAGAGCTCTTGGTTTGAGTGTTTGGCTCAAATAGCTACTCCATTTTTGTCCATTGGTTGTTTGTCTCTCACCTGTGTGAGGCACCTGGCATGTAGGAATCAGTATCTTCAGATTGCTCTGAGGACAGGGTAGTTTCAACAAGCTACAGTGCCTATTAAATGAGCCTAGAATTTGTTTTCAGAACATATGAAAACATAGACAAAAACCAAAATCGAACCGACCTTAACTGTTGATCAAGCTCTACTTAGGATTCTCCTTTTTCTCTGTTCCATCTTATTTGTTGAGCAGGGAAGTGGCCAAAAAGTAGACAGCAAAAGAAGAAGAAGAATAGAATTCACATTTCCTGAAAACCAGGTGGTGCTTTGGGAAGTGCTAGGCTAAACGAAGTTGAACAAGTTTCCTTACTATCGAACTTCTCAAAGCCTTAAATATGCAGGTCTGTCTTGATTCCTCATGAGAGTGCTGCATTTTCTAACTTAATTGGATGTAAACTTTTTTTTCATGCATAACTGCCAGAATCAATTTTCTACGGAGCCTACTTTGGGGAATTCCTACATTAAAACAACTTAGAAAAATGGACAAGAGACAGAAAGAAGCATTTTCACCTTGGAGAAAATCTATATGGCCAATAAGTACATGAAAAGATGTTCAACTCCATTAGCAATCAGGGGGAAATGTAAAATCAAACCCACAATGAGATTGGCAAAAACTAAGTATGAGTACCGTAAGTGTTAGGGGAGAAAGATAGATCAACAAGAATATAATATATTGCTGGTGGGAGTGTATATTGATTTAACCATTTTGGAAAACAATTTGGCATTATCTCGTAAGGCTGATTGTTCATACCCTCTGTGATCTAGCAGTTCTAGTCCTAGGTATAAGCTTTAGAGGGACTCTTGCATATATGATCAAGAGACACATTCAAACGTGCTTCTAGTAGCATAGTTCAGAGTAGCAGAACTAAAAAAAAACCAAAAAGCCCATCACCACTGGGATGGATAAATTGAGATGTATCCCAACATGAGTGTTACACAGCATGGGTGCACAACATGGCTGGATACCACAGCATGGCCCTGGCTGGTTTGCTCAGTGGTTAGAGCGTGGGCCCTCAGACTGAAGGGTTGTGAATTCGATTCCAGTCAAGGGGTCAAGGGCACATACCTAGGTTGCAGGTTTGATCCTAGCCCCAGTCAGGGTCATGCGGGAGGCAACCAGTTGATGTATCTCTCTCACATCAGTGTTTCTCTCTTTCTTTCCCTCCCCCATCCAGTCTCTCTAAAATAAAACAAAACAAAGTCAGTGGAAAAATTTTCTCAGGTGGGGATTAACAGAAATAAAAATAAATACAACAACATGGATGAATATTAGAAATATAAAATTGATTAAATTAGAAAATAATCTGCTGGCAAAGCTCAATTTTGCCTAAGTAGGTTCCTCTTTTTTTTTTTTTTATCTTCACCAGAGGACATTTTTCCATTTTTCAGATAGAGTGGGAGGGAGGGAGCGGAAGAGAGGGAGAGAGAAACATCAACATGAAAGGGACATATCGAGTGGCTCCCTCCTGCACGGCCCCAACCAGGGCTGGGGACAAACTGCGACGTACACCCTAAATGGCTGGGATCCAGCTACACTTGTAGCACAAATGGGGCAGGATTGAGAAGCAGTTCACCTTTGTTGCCTGGGATGATGGCTGAGACCTGGCAGCTCTGTTTCTCACCCACAGCTCAGTGTTTCAGCTGTTTTCTTGCTTCCCTTGGAGATGTCAGGGAATGATTGGTCTGGAGTCTTGGTTTGCTAATGAGAGGGCTTCTCATGGCCACATTTTCCCTATCACAAGGTTCGGCGTTTGATCTTGGGGATCTTAATAGTCAGGACCTTAAAAATAGGACCCTAATACAGCAGGAAATTCAAGTGAACCTCCTACTTCTCCATCCCCTTGCTCTTTTATAAATGTGCCTTTATCCAGACATCCTTTCTCCAAGTAAGAATCTTAGTTTTCACTATGCCGTGTGCCTAAAATTAATATAATACTGAATGTGAATGCGACGACACCTCATCGAAGGGTGCTTTGCCCCCGTCAGAATTTCTGCTCGTTTAGATACCTGTCTCCTCATGGGTCTGAATTACCACCTCCCCATCCCCATCCCACCCCCAGTTTTCTCTTATTAACCTATTTTTCTTTTTCTTTAGACCAATGAGGCGAGCTCAGAGTCGATAGCATCTTTCTCGAAGCAGGAGATCATGAGTAGCTTTCTGCCCGAGGGAGGGTGTTACGAGCTGCTCACCATTATAGGTAATGTCCAGGGACTGCCATGACCTTCACACTCCACGGGGTGGCTGCAGCTCCCAGCATCTCCACGAGTGTGTGTCTAAGGCTGTCAGCTGAGTGGACTAGTGGCGACAGAACTGGCTCTGATGCGTCTCCTTGGATTGTGTTTCTCCAAGTATGGAGAAGAGATCATGTTACCAGGGAAAGAGTTCTTGAAATTTCTTCTTTTTGGCTGCACACGTCTGGTGCCCTGGGCCAGAGTCGGTCAGAATGGTTGGCCGAGAAGGAACCGACAGGAGAAAAATCAAGAACTGTCAGCCATGAAAGTAACAGTAGTGAAAAAAAATTTTTTTTTGGCCTTTTCCAAATTATATTTTGTATTAGTTGCCTAATGTTGCAAATTACCCTAAAGCTTAAATGTCTTAAAACAACTTTTATTATCTCCCAGTTTCTGAGTTTTAACTTGAACTTTCTTTTAAAACCAAGTCTCTTGAAGGAAGAAGAAAATTTGGTTGCTGTTGACCTTGTTTGCGGCATCCCTCGTTTCTTTCAGGCAAAGGATTTGAGGACCTGATGACAGTGAATCTAGCGAAGTACAAGCCAACGGGCGAGTATGTGACAGTGCGAAGGATTAACCTAGAAGCTTGTTCCAACGAGATGGTGACGTTCCTGCAGGTAATAACATGCGACTGTGACCCTTGGAGGGTGGGCTCTTCGCTCCAGCAGTAATCACAGGGCGTCGCTTACCTCCGTCTTCTGAAAGTAGCTGGCGGGAAATGAAGGTAGACCAAGCCAACAAGTTATGGAAGCTCCCAGTGAGGAACCTTGGGCTTTGGGCACCAAGGGTTCTGCAGTGCTGCTCAGCCCAGTTTATGTTCCTCTCTGCTCCAAAGACTCCTCTGTGCCTCATTTATTTATTATTCAGAGAGGCACAGTAACTTGCCCACAGTCACACACACCAGTAAGTGGCAGAGGCAGGATTTAAACCAGGCAGTCCTGTTCCAGATGTGGGGCAACCTGCCCAGCCACAGGTGGACATCTGCCAGCTCTTAGCATCCTGTTTCCCTGAGGTTCCTTTCTACTGGAGAAGCAAGTAGCTACTGACTCGTTAAACTGGGAAAGACGGCAGGTCTAGTAACCGGCCGGGGACTGGGTTCTCCTTGCCTGATGAAGGCTTGCACTGGGAACTCCTTATGTCGAGGGCCTGGGTCAGCGTATTTTCAATAGTTAGTTGCACCCCCTCCCCTTCTTACCATGTTCTTCTGAAATCATGCTTATCTGACGGTGCTCTAATACCAGTTCACAGGCTCAGAGTAGTTTTGCAGATCAGAAGATGGGGCAGAAAGTCTGTCCCAACTGAGTTCTTCGGGAAAAAATATATCTGACTTTGTTCTAGAGCATGTTGGACTTTCAGATTCTTCTGTGGAGCAGTGGACAGGTAGAAGGTGCTGCCTGTTTGGCTTTAGCTCACATCCCAGAGGCCAGGACCCTAGGGTTTCTACGGTTTTCTTGTCCAATTTGTTTTGACATCTTTTGTCCAAAATTATTTTAAAATTTCATAGGTCTGACACTCTATAGCTGCTCCTAAGGCGGGGATCTCTCGATCTGAGGTTGCTGGAGAGACAGTATCCAATGTTTAGTAGTTGTCGTTTGTTCTGTGATGCTATCTTCCCTTGTTTCTATTAATGACAGCATTTTCCTTCATATTAGGAAAACATTTCTCATGTTTTTATCTTCAGGAAGAGTTCTGTGCCTTAGCCCTTGAAGTTGAGCTGAGCTTAGACCTTCCTGAGTCTTCGATGTACAGTCTGTTTCCGTCCCTCCGTGCGGGGAACTGCTAGCGGTTGCCCTGCTGGCGGGACGTCTGGCGGCTCGAGGGACTGGCCGGCAGGGCCAGACGTGGGCCGGAGCTGGCAGAGCAGCGCAGCCTTCCGTGTGGAGACAGCAGAGCCAGCTTCTCGTCCTGGAGGGCACCCTGCTTAGGCTGCCCCCAGGACTGAGACCAGCACTCAGAGAATACCAGGACCCCATATTCATGCTGCCCTCTTCTTGTTGAGCGTCATTCCTCAGAGCCCCTTAATTCTGACTTCAGCTTACCATTGGTTTCAGGGGGAACTTCATGTCTCTAAACTCTTCAGCCATCCTAACATCCTGCCATATCGAGCCACCTTTATTGCAGACAATGAGCTGTGGGTTGTCACGCCATTCATGGCATATGGTGAGTGGGAAGGGCTCCTGGTGGAGAGGGGTTCTAAGAACTCTGTTGTCAGCTGGCTTATGTGCTGTTTTCCTTCTCTGTTACCCCTTCCCCATCTCCCCACGATTCTGTTCTTCAGGTTCTGCAAAGGATCTCATCTGTACACACTTCATGGATGGCATGCATGAACTGGCGATTGCTTATGTCCTGCAGGGGGTGCTCAAGGCCCTTGACTACATCCACCACATGGGATATGTACACAGGTGCATTCTCAGGCATATTCACCCTTTACAGGAGGGGGATCTGTGCCCGTGAGCCCTCAAGTCAACACGGGAGGGTTGACTGGAGTTAGTGAAACCAGACTTGGGATTCTGCCCAGCCTCTGAGCTCGTGGACAGAGCATTTAGCCAGTCAGTGATGGAGCTGCAGACTTTGTCTTTACTGAGCAGCTTGTCCTGAGTATTGTGTGAGAGGAACATCTGAAGTGGACCGCTGCACCCGTCTGTCCCCCTTCCTTCTGGGGCACCCAAACTGGTGTGTGCACCCCAGAGTCTGCCCTGTGCTGAGAGGCTGGGGAGAAGACGATGCTTAGTAGATGGTGTCAGGAAAGCGGCTCAGGGTGGGGAAGATAATAGAGCTGGACCCCCACCTAACTCCACATACAAAGGAGCTCTTCCAATGGACTAAAGGCCTAATGTCAGATGTAAAACTACAGACTTAGAAGGAAATATGAGGAAATATTTTTGGGACCTGAGGTATAGAACTTTTAAATATTTTAGAAGCACAAAACATAACACAAAAAATCAATACATTTGATTATATCAAGATTAAAGATTTGTCTCCAACGAAGGACACCTTGAACGAAGTTAAGAAACGATGATACCACGGAAAATGTTACTTTGTCTAAAACACATGGGAGATTAGTAACACGGCAGTCTTCTGAATCACCAAGAAAAGGATAGCAGAGCCAACAGAAACATGAGTGAAGGATGAGATTATAAACGAGGAGACCCAACAGACTGACAGCCATATGAGCAATAATCAGAAAAGCAAATTGAAACAGGTGATACCTGCTTATACCCCAGAGACTGGCATATTTGGAGGCTGGGTGAAGCCCAGTGCGATGAGGAGGTGGGGCCTCCTGTCCAGCTAGTAGAAGACAGCCCGACTGCCAGTCAGGGTCCCTCGGAACCGGGACTATCAGGGACCTCAGTGCTGCCTCTGGTGTGCACACCCCAAAAACCCTCACACAGCCCCTCAGGGACATGGGTGCGTGTCACTGTCCAGTCATGGTGGGAGCCGTGGGAGTGTTCCTTGCTGGGAAAACGGATGAGTAAAAGGTCAGATTTCCCCGAGCACAGGTGGCATTTAGAAGCAAAGATGAGATCTGCAGATGGCAGCATGAATGGGTCTCACAAACAGGGCGCTGAGCAAAAGGAAGAGTGGGGTGCATAGCACAGTAGCCGTAGGCAAACTGAACACGCACGCACGAGACAATGACACCCTTGACGAGCACACAAGGTGTAGGTCAGTTAGGTGGTGGGGACACAGTGGTCTGTGAGCACAAGGGAACTGAACAGAAATCTGGGGATGTGTAAGGGGTCATGCACTCTTTTGTGTATGTTTGAAACCTTTCACAAAAACATGTACTGTGTATATAATATGTATATACACATATCATACACACACACACATGCTGACAGGGAGAGACTGACTGGATCTAGTGTGTAAAGACCAAAGTTTCGTGGTGTGAGGAGCTCCTGCTGCCCTGTGACACCCTCTTCCCGCCACCTGCCCCTGCCCCCCAGGAGTGTCAAAGCCAGTCACATTCTGATCTCCGTGGATGGGAAGGTCTACCTGTCTGGTTTACGCAGCAACCTCAGCATGATCAGCCATGGGCAGCGGCAGCGTGTGGTCCACGATTTTCCCAAGTACAGTGTCAAGGTTCTGCCGTGGCTCAGCCCAGAGGTCCTCCAGCAGGTCTGTACTGGGTCCTGAGGAGCCCCAGCCCCACCACCTGTGATTTCCCAGGAAGCCGTCAGGAATTTCCTGGGATGGGTGTTCTCTGCCCCAAGCGCAGTAAGGGCTCGGAGGGAGGCTCTCCTGTTGGCAGATAGGCCTGGGAGGCCTCTCACATGGGCATGATGTGCCCCTGGCAGATGGAGTAGTTCCTCGTGTGGGGTCGCGAACTGTGCCTGATGCTATTTCTACTCCCTTCAGAGATCCCTGCACCTTGTGGGAAATGAGCATTTGCTGCTCTCTCCATCCCTATACTACGTGAGAACCCGGGGCCCCACACGTGCTCCTGCTTGCTCTGGAGCGTCGCAGTCGTCCCTTCTCAGATGCAGCTGCGCTTCAGTGGCGCAGGCAAGGACGTGGCAGCTGGTCCCGGTTTGGGGACGGGCTTTCTCTCCCTCCGCAGTGTGTGTTCCACCCGCTCTTTTCCTAAGAACGAGGGCCAAGGCTACAAACGGAGTGATCTGTGGCTTTTTTCTCCTGATTTAGAACCTGCAGGGTTATGATGCCAAGTCTGACATCTACAGTGTGGGAATCACAGCCTGTGAGCTGGCCAATGGCCACGTGCCCTTTAAGGACATGCCTGCCACCCAGGTGAGCCTGCAGCCTTCCTTCTCGCCCGCCTGCCTGTCCACCTCCCACAAATGCAGGACACTGGCCAGGGGTACTCGGATGAAAGACAGTCCTTCTCCTTCAAGAGCCCCACCCAGGGAGACGGGTGTGTAACTCCGTGCTTCTGGGTGACAACTGCTGTGCGAATGGAGACCCAGGGAGGAAAGCTCAGGGCAGGCCCACTGCTCAACATTGCGGGCCCGGGGCTGGTGAGGTGGAGCCCACGGACCAGGTGTCTGTTTACAGTGTAAATCAAGTTGACGCTTTTAAAAATATCCTCACCGAGGATATGTTTATTGATTTTACAGAAAGAGGAAGAAAGGGAGAGAGAGAACATCAATGTGAAAGAGAAACATCGATCAGTTGGCTCCCGTATGTACCCCAGTGAGGGATCAAACCCAAACCTTTTGGTGTTCAGGACAATGCTCCAGCCAATGGAGCCACCCAGCCAGGGCAGGATTACACATTTTTATAAATTTATAAAATATGTTGTCCTCCTACCTTGATAAAAACACATGGAAGGCCAGTTTCTAATTTAGAATTCTCAGACTTCTGTTCACACCCCTTACAGTGACTGCCTTTGGCCATCCTGGGCATACACAGCGGTGTAGTCTGCCCTTGGGAGAGCCCCAGGGAGGAGGCCCATCTAGCCAGGCCTTGTCAAGTCCCAGAAGTGGTCTTGGATCACTGGGGCAAAGACTGCCTGGGTCCCAGGTACCTGGAACATGATCTAGAACTGGAAGGGAGTGGGGGCGTTGTACGTTCTGAGTGAGCCTCTCCCTTGAACCCACAGCCTGCTTGCCCTGTGGGGAGGAGGGCAGCTAGAAGAGGAACTCTGTAGAGCAGGGGGCCCAGGGAGGTTTCTGGGAGGAGGTGACACTTGAGTAAATAGGCTTTAACTGAAGAATGGAAACTAGAAGGAAACTCTTTTAGGCTGAGGGAATAGCACGTGCAAAGACCCAGAGTCAAGAAAGAACAGGACCTGGACAACAGCAAGTAGTGGTGAATGGCTGAAGTACAGGTGCATGTCGGCGTGTGCTAGGTGATGTGGCTGGAGGAGGAAGCTAGGGCAGATCATGAAGGGCTTTGCATGTCACCCAGGACATCTGGTTCCTGTTGCAAGTGTGCGGAAAATCACTGAAGGCTTTTAAGCACAGGAGTGATGGCATCAGATCTGTATTTGAAGACACTCACTAGGAGGTGGGTTAGATCTGGTAGTCCAGGAGGGTGTGGAAATCTAGGTTAGGAATCTAGAAAACCTAAGTGAGACCCTGACAGATGCTCAGGAGAGTTAAAAGGCTATTTACGGTGAATGAGAGGCACAGATCCAGAATCAACACAGTCCAATAGGATTTCTGGGATGATGCAAATGCTCTGTATCTGCACTGTCCAGAATGGTCGCCACTAGCCATCTGTGGCTATTAGTTAAAATGTGGCCCATCAGATTGAGGAACTGAGTTTTAAACCTAATTTAAATTCATTTAAATATATACTGCCTGTCTGGTGTGGCTCAGTGGATTGAGCATTGTCCCATGGACTGAGAGGTCCCAGTTCAACTGCCGGTCAGGGCACATGCCTGGGTTGCGGTCTTGATCTCCATTGGGGAGTGTGTAGGAGGCAGCTAATTGATGTTTCTCTCTCACATCAATGTTTCTCTCTCTCTCTCTCTCCCTTCCTCTCTCTAAAAAAATCAATAAAAACATATATTTTTAAAAATAAATATAAATAGTCACTTGGGGCTAGTGGCCACCATACTACTCTAGAGAGATTTCCAGGTTTCTGGCTTGGACAGAGCAATCTGCAGGGACTTGGACAGCAATCCCCAAGTTGGGGCTGGTTTCTCGAGTATGGAGTCTGAGGGCTTTCAAACAGCTGTCCCAGCTTGGCCTGTCCGGGCTGCTGCTCCTGTGCGGCTGCCGCAGTGCCAGCCCAGGTGCTGCTAAAGGACCCATCAGACCCACCTGGACTTGGCAAATTGGCCTGGGCTTCAAAGAAAGTCACCCAGCTGCTGCCTTCGCCCTAGGGTGAGGGCTCTACAGTGAAAAGGATCTGATGCCTTCTAAAGGGGAGGAGACAGCCCCTCCCAGCCATGGTGAAGGCCACTTCCTTGCAGCCCCTCAACAGCTGGGCCCAGCTAGGGCCTGGCTGCCAAGCCGGCGGCCAGCATTCCTTTGTTACTTAGTCTACTTCCCCTACATCACATTTGTGTAGTGAGAAAAGTGTATCTGTGAAGAGACTCTGGGTCCTCCAGCCCAGCTCTGGCTCTGTCCTCCCCAGATGCTGCTGGAGAAACTGAATGGCACAGTGCCCTGCCTGCTGGACACCAGCACCATCCCCGCTGAGGAGCTGACCATGAGCACCTCACGCTCAGCGGCCAACTCTGGCCTGAGTGAGAGCCTGGCCACCAGCTCCCCCAGGACCTCCAATGGGGACTCCGTATCCCACCCCTATCACCGCACCTTTTCCCCCCACTTCCACCACTTTGTGGAGCAGTGCCTCCAGCGCAGCCCGGACGGGAGGTATTTGCGCTGGGCTCCCGGGGCGGGGTGGGGCGGTCTGGGGCTTCAGGGGCTTCAGGCAGGGTTTGACAGGGTGCACCTGTAAGGGTCTGGGTTCCCCAGGTGTCCAGAGCCCCCACGGCAAGAGGGGTTGGCCTGAGGGTTTGCTAAGAAGGCAGCTGAGTAGCTCTGGCTGCTTTTCTTGCTGAGCTGAGGATGAAGCAAAGGGGCGCTTGAGGGTGAGGTATAAGCCACAGGGTTTTGGGAATTGGGGACACAGGGGTGATGCTGTCTCTCATCCCCTTTCTCTGCAGACCAAATGCCAGCACCCTCCTGAACCATTCTTTTTTCAAGCAGGTATAGTAACTTTGCTGAGGCTCCCTGTTTTCTTGTCTGTGGTTCTAACTCCCCCAATCCCCTTAGCTTTGGGGTCTTTAGGTATCCTCTTCTCCTCCCTTCGAATCAAAGAAGTGACCATTTCTGAAGCCCCTTAAAGGTGCTGCCCTTCCTCTCGTGGCAACTCTGGACTCCAAAGGCTTATCTGTCACTGGGCCTTGGCTCCTTGCCTCATGGTGTCCTGGGACCCAGAGCGACAGGATCCACCCCGACTCTCTCTTCCCCCAGATCAAGCGACGCGCCTCAGAGGCTTTGCCTGAGTTACTTCGTCCTGTCACCCCCATCACCAATTTTGAGGGCAGCGAGCCTCAGGATCACAGTGGGATCTTCGGCCTAGTAACAAACCTGGAAGAGTTGGAGGTGGACGACTGGGAGTTCTGAGCCTCAGAGGAAGGTGCACATTTTCCAACACACGAGGACGTGGGAGCCTCCGGGCCCCTTCCTGAGGGCTGGCCACATTCCCACCCTTCGGGGTGCAGATTGGGTAGAAAGGACATTTCTCCAGGAGAGTCGTCTGCTTGCTGACGGGGAAATTCCTGGAGAGAAACTTTTCTTTACTGCTCCAAGCTTCTGAGACACAAGGGAATCCCAACAACTAGGGATCCAGACAGGCCAGAACGCTGACATTCCCAGCCCTGGTTGCGCAACAGCCTCCTCAGAGGGAAGAGATACTGTCCTGTCCCTGGAGGCTGAAGTTCAAGCCCAGGGTTTGACTCATTGACACAGGGAACTGTGTGACTTCCTCTTCCCACTCATGCTCACTTACCAGCAAAATGCTATTCTTTTCCAGTGTTCTTAGATCCTGTAGGTCCATGGAGAGGCAAGCAATAAGCAACCCCTCTCCCCTCTGACCTCTCCCTAATCATTGGAGGGAAGGGTTCCCACCCTTTGGGGGGGGGGGTGTATTTTTAAGCACCGGGTTAAGGTTGGAGCACTTCGTCTGATCCTTGTTATCGCTTGGGCCCTGACACCTAGAACTTGTCCGTAGTTCATCTGTGAAGTGTGTTCCTTTCCCACCGAGGCCATCTCACCGCCTCCTGCTCTGCCCTGGTGCTTTCTCTATGGGCCATAACGTCTTGCCTGGCCAGAGGGCGTAAGTCCTTACGCCGAGTTAGTTTTATTGTCAGAACAAATTAAAAATTTCAGAGAACCTGCCGGAGAGTGAATTGTTGTGTGCTGACCATACAGGCTCAGACCAGTCTCATTCCACCCCGGGTTCTGCCTCCCAAGTGGTCCCCAAGTGCTCGCGGAAGCACAACAGTGACAGCCTCACAACACACCAAGTCTTTTAGAACTCATAAAAGATTTGTCTGTCAACTATCTAAAAATTGGAGACTTATTTTTAGCCTGTGGCCATTTGAACACTTTGGGGCTGGAAAGGTCCAGGTGCTGGAGACCAGCCCCTCCGCAGGGCCACTTCTGGGCCACAAGGAGTCCAGGCAGAAGACGCTCACCTTCAGCAGGAAAGGAGGTGGAGGGGTTTATTTTGTAACATGACTTGCAGTGTCTCCTTACCAATGGAACTGATACCTCAAGAACAGGTAACCTAAGAACCAGACCGGCCCCCTGCCCTGTCATCCTGCCTGGCAGCCAGAGGCCAGGCCAGTGGGTGATTCTAACCTGGATCTTCTCCATGGTGCTCCCCACTTTGCATGTGCCCAGCTCAGCACCTTCCCTCCACCAGTCCCTCAGGGGTGAGGTGCCTTGCTCTGGGTGAGGCACTTCAAATGTCAGTTTAAGGAAGCACCCCTCCCTCTTCCCTGAAGCTGCTTTGAACCATCAAATGCTCTCACTTTCCCTTTCCTCAGAAATTGTAACAACAGTTTAAAAATAAAAAACCCTCTTCCTTGGGCAGTTATGGGTTGAAGGAATGACATCAACCATCAGGTGGGGTGCGAGACCTGAAATGGAGTGAGAAAGCCAGGTCACATTTATTTCCAGCCCTCTCCTCTTCTCACAACTTTTTTTTTTCTTTCTTTAAACATCAAGTTCCCTTTTCTTATTAACATTATCAGCCAGTTTTCTTTGCTTGTAAACTGCCTTCGCCTTGCTTGTCAGCTCATTTTCAAGCCAAACTGCTGACTCCGTCAGCTACCTGCAGTTCAGCCTGCAGACTGGTCCTGGGCAGGGGAGGGGGCCTCAGCATCAGGCTGGCCAGGCCATACCCAACTGCAAGCCCAGCCTTGTGTCCCCGAGGGGGATTTAAGTCACTACAGCCCCCTAGAGAGGAAGGGAGGCTGAGGAGAAAAGAAGCTCAGCGCGGGTGTGATGAGTGAGCCAAGGGAAAAGCTGGGGGCCGAGGAAGCTGCTGCCTCCCTCCCACCCTTCCCCCCGTCTCTGCCAGGTGCGGAGGCGCTGCGCGGTTCTGCTCCCTGAAAGTGTGTGGGCCCGCTCAGGAGCCACTAGTTCTATTCCTGCACAGCGTGGGAACAAGCTATGTTTAGGGCTGTGCTTCCTGAAGCAGCTTCTAGCCTGGTGTCAGGCAGAGCTTTGCAGACCCCCACCCTCCCAGCAGCGGTCCATCCTGGAGGCTGCTTCCTGCACAGCTGAGGCTCTACCCCCAGTGAGGAATGGTCACCTTCCTCCTGTGTGCCTGCATCAGACTAGGCCGCGGGCTACTGCAGCGGGCAGCCGGTTTAGCCAGGGGAGCAGGGAGTAAGGAGCCGGGGTCAGGAGGCCTGGCTTCTCACCCAGTCCTGCTTCACCAGCTGTGATACTTGGAACAAGTCACTTCAAATCTTCAGGCCTTGCTCCCTCGCATTAAATGAGGTTTGGATGCACCTAGGTTTGCTTAAGAGTGTAAATCCCTTTCCTTGAATGGGGTGCCCGCAAGGACCAGGGGTGACTAATCCAACAAAATCCGGCCACAGAAATGCTTTCAGAGGACGGGTGCTCTGGGACACTACGGGCAGCAAGCTTCCTGGGCCCCTTGTCTTGGGGATCGCAGCAGATGGCGCCAAGGGCCCTCGTGCAGGTCGACCCCGCATAGAGCGGGTGACCGAAGGGGACTGAACACAGTGGTCTCGGGGGCAGCCCGGTGGCCGGGCGTGGAGGGACCGCGGGCCCCGGCCACCGCTGTCATCTCCTCAGTGGCCATGCAGACACGCGGGGCTGCCCCTGGCGGCGGGAGGACTCCGTGGCCCGTGGGGGCGTGGGAGCCACAGGACCCCGACCGGACCTCCGGGACCGCCCCCACGGGGTATGTCAGGCTGCAGGGTCCACGTAGCGCCGGGCGGAAACGGAGGCAGCGGGGCCTGCGCCCTCGGGGGCCAACTAGGGGAAACCGAGGCAGCACCGCTGGTTCCGTGACCCCAGGCGGCTCAGCCTGCACTCGTCCACGTCCCGGGCGTGCGGCGCGGGGCCCGAGGGCTGCAGCCTCTGCCTCCGTCCCGAGCGGGCCGACGGGGAGCCGGGCTTCGCGAGGCCGGCGGGCGCGGGGCCCAACGGGAGGTGCGGAGCGCCGGGAGCGCGGGGTCGGGGCGGGAGGCAGACAAAGGCGGGGACGGCGGGCGAGGGGAAGACAAAGCGCGGAGGGGGTCGGCGGCGGCGCCGGGGCTCCGGAGGCGGCTCCGGGCGCAGCGGAGCCAATGGGCGGGCGCGAGGCGGGGGCCGGCGGGGGCGGTGCTGCGATAAGGCGGTGGCGGTGGCGGTGGCGGCCGCTCGGGGACCACAGGCTAGCGGCGGCAGATCGCGCCCGCGCCCACCTCGCACTCGAGGCGCTCCCCACTGACCGACCCTGCCCCGCGGCCCAGGCCGGGACCCGGTGAGACACACGGGCGGGCGGGCGGCCGGAGGGACGGGTCTGCAACCGGCTCGCAAATCGGGGCGCCTAGGTGGGGGCTGCGGGGCCGCCGTTCCGGGGTCCCATCGCGGAGCGCTTCCGCCCGTCGCTCTCGCCCGGGCCCCTAGGGTAGCGGCCGGCCTCCGGGGCGCGTCTCCGGGCGGGAACGGGGACAGGTTCCCCTCGGGTGGGCCTGCGGGGGTTCCGGGTGTGGGGTCCCGTCCACGCGGGTCTGGGGGCCGAGGAATGGGGCGCGCGGGCAGCGCGGCCGGGGAGCGCTGTCCAGGGGCTGGGTCAGCCGAGCTAGGGGCGCCAGCGGCCTCGGCTCCTCGACCCTGCGCTGTTCAGCATCGGTTTGGGGTCAGGCCAGGGCAGCGGGTTTTCACCCCAGCTCTGCCCCGCCCGCCCTCCCCTGACCTCCCCCAGCCTCCCCCAACCCTCACCCCAAACGGGGTCCGGGCCTGGGCCCGCGGGGCGCCCACGGCGGCTGTGGCGTAACCCCCGACACATGGTTCCACTGAGGAGCCCCTGCCCCGTGGGGAGCAGCGTGGGGAGCAGAAGGGGGAGGTGGGTGAGGGGCGGAAGTGGCAAGACCCAGAGCAACAGGAAATGACTTAGGGAAAGTCCCAACCACAGCCCCCCACCCCTCTGCCTGTAAACACCTCCACCCCCACCCTGCAGGCTGGGGAAGGGCTTGTGGGACCCGACCGACCGACTTCCCCTTGCAGAACCCAGCGGGTGCCGCGTCTCTACCCGGGCCTCCATCACTTTCAACCAGCCATGTTCCAGGCTGCAGGAGCCGCCCAGGCCACCCCCTCTCATGTAGGTGATCAGGCGGGTGGGAGGACACCCCGGGTAGATGTCTAGCCTGGGAATGAAGGGGAGAGGAGCGGTGTGTTTGCCTAACACCCTTTGCCCCTCCCCCCTTGAGTGCCCCTGGGATCTGGGCTGGTGACCCCAGCAAAGGTCTGGGGCATCTCAGCTGCCCCTGCCCTGACTGGCCCTCTCCCTCAGGAAGCCAAAGGAGCCGGTGGCCCCAGCACTGTTCAGCGCTCCAAGGTAGGGCCCTTAGAGTGGGGTGTGGGGAGAGGAAGCGATGGGCACTGTTCAGACCCCTGGCTGATTCTCTCTCCCCAACAGTCCTTCAGCCTTCGGGCCCAGGTGAAAGAGACCTGTGCCGCCTGCCAGAAGACCGTGTACCCCATGGAGCGGCTGGTGGCAGACAAGCTCATTTTCCACAACTCTTGCTTCTGCTGCAAGCACTGCCACACCAAGCTGAGGTGCGCCCTTGCCCTGCCCCTGCCCTGCCCTCCAGCCCCAACCCGACCTGACCACAATTATTCTGCTTCTGCAGCCTGGGCAGTTATGCGGCGCTGCATGGGGAATTTTACTGCAAACCCCACTTTCAGCAGCTGTTTAAGAGCAAAGGCAACTACGATGAGGGTTTCGGCCGGAAGCAGCACAAGGAGCTCTGGGCCCACAAGGAGGTGGACCCTGGCACCAAGACAGCCTGAGGCCCTCTGACCATCCATTCCCTCTGTAGAGGGCCTGCAACAGGACAGTGGGAAGTGTGGAAAAGAGCTCGGACCTGGGCTAGCATGGGGAGGCAGGGTGGGAAGGGGATGAGGCCATCTTGCTCAGGCAGAGGGTTATGGGGGCAGGGCTCTGCTCCAGGATTCCTTCGTTCTCCCGCGGTGGGGATTTGGGAACCAGGATTGGGGGTTGCTCACCACCCTGCTTCCTGCTTCTTTCACCTTACCCCACCTAACCCCCTGGCTCCCTGGGAGGCCCCCAAACCCAGCTTCCTTATTTAGGTGCCTTTTCTCCAGCAAGGAGTCAGCATGCCCCCTCAGGGTCCTAAGCTCCCTCACTGCCACCCGGGGCCCTGTGTGGCCCCTATGTCTCCCCATCTACCTCTGCCCTTAGCCTGGTTCTGAGCCATGGAGACTTTGGAGGAAGGAGAGCCAGAGTGCCTCACAGAATGCCCACCAGGGCTCAGTGGGGGAGGGGAGGGGAAGTGGAGCAGCCCTGCCCCTCCCTGCAAGGCAAGGCAGGGCACGCCCCAGTGGGGCTTGGGACCATCTTGCACCACCGACATCAAGGAGCAGAAGCTAAAAGCACCTGCCAGGCTGAGTGCCACAGAGACTGGCAGGGATCTAGCAGCCGCCACACTCCCTTCCTCTTCTCTTTCTGCCAGTCCTGACTGTTGTGATCAACCCTGTTTTAAACATGTTTCAATAGATCCTGACTGTATTATGTGGCCTGATTTGGGAAGGGGGCAAGAAGGGCACAGTCTCACGGTGCAGAAGTGAAGAGGGGAGACAGGGTTAGCCCAGAGCACTTCTGGCCTTGATGGGAGGGCAGTGATGGGTGACAGAAATACCAGCCAGCCTGAGAAAAGGGATGTCCTCTTCCCAGCCAGGTCTGCATGCTGTCAAGCCTCTCTAGTTTTATAACTGAAACTCCTTTGTCCTTCAGCCTTGTGTTGGTTAAGAGGGTCAGGCCATCAGTGCGTGATGGTGCCTGGCCTCACTACACTTCAATATGTTGGGGTGCGAGGCAAAACCCTTCTGCTGAGCCCTGGTCTGGGCCCCTTTTGTTCTGGAAACGAGTAAGGGATAGAGGGAATCAGCAGATTTCACCTGCCTTTTCAAGCTCTGCTGAATGGGGCAGCCATGGTCACTGTCCCAGATAGTCCAAACAGCTTGTCTGCCCCCTCTGAATGACAACACAAGGCAACTTGGGAGACCTAAGACCTTTCCCCCCAGAATAAAGGCAGGAAGTCTGGGTTGTCCTACCCCAGACCCAGCTGTCCTGATTTCCCCAAATTGCTTGTGAGCTGTGTGAGTTGGTAAGAGCAAGAGGCACACTGCTGGGGTTGCTGCCACTGCCCCCAAATAACTCCTTAAGTTCTCAAGTGGCCTCATGCCCACAGGACTGGGTAGGGAACTAGGCCTAAGCTCTGGTGGCAGATGGGCCACTGTTGTGTTGAGGTAGTGCCCCTTGGAGCAGCACAGCTAACACTCAGTAAACAGAATGGGTCCTCTGCGAGCTGCTGAGAGCCTCACCCAGGGCAGGTCCTACTTCTGCACCAGAAGCTTCAGATTGGGGACAAGGATGGTTTCTCCCTGCCCAGGGCTAAGCAACAGCAGCAGATAGACAAGCAGATGCCAGAGATGGCTCCTGGAGGCACCTGATTCCTGCCTTAAAAGGATGGGAATAGGGCAAGTCCTCTGGGCTGGGAAGACTACCAGATGCTACAAAGATACTGGGAACCCAGCCACTGGGGACACGGGCTGACAGTACCACCTTGGTAAATCAGCCCTGACAGAACTGCCCTCAGCAGAGCTCCTGGGAGCGAGAACAGGAGGTGTCATCTCTGAGCCAGCAGTGGTACCAGCCACATCATCCAATCCCAGGCCACCTCTTAAGTCTTTTTTTTTTTTTTTGGTACGTGTCCTTTAGTGGGAACTGAACCCAGGACTCTCTAGTCCACAGGCCAACGCTGCAACTGCTAAGCCAAACCAGCCAGGGCTTAAAAGTCATTTTAAGTTCTCTACTGAGGGACCCAAGTTTGTTGCTAGGTACTATACCTGCCCCCTCCCAGGCAAACACCTACTCCTCCCACCCTTCAACCAAAAGCATTGCCACAGGACCCCTTTGGTATAAATGATCCCTTTTTATTTTAAGTAATGCACGACACTGGCCTGGCTTTGCTCTGCAAGCCCTCGGTCAAGATATAATCAAATAACTATGGCTGCAGGTTCTTCTGCACGATCCACAATTCAGACACAGACACAGAGCTGAGGTGGGTGGGAAAGGCAGGAGGGTGGCAGAGGGCAAACTGTCCCCAGCCCTGGCCTGTTGGGTTGGCCAAGGCATCTGACATACTCCATGGAATGATGAACAAATGGCACATGACCCTTCCCACAGCAACCCTGGAGCTGCTAGGAGACTGCCCTACAGAAAATTTGGGCCCAGGCCATTCTAAGCCCATAACTTTCCATCTGGATTATTTAATAATAAATTAAAATTAAGCAATAGCTTGGTCCTGAGGATGCTGAGCCAGCATGTCCACATTTTTGGCACAAAAATATCAGGGTCCTGTTTATTTTTGGAGTGCATGGTTTGTTGGCTTGTTTGCAAACTCATTTTTAAAAACACATTCCCTGTAAGGTAAGACCCTGGGGTGGGGGGAAGTGGGGGCTCTGTGAGAGCCTGAACCTGGGACACAGAGTCGTCTCATCTTGTCAGCTCCGGCACTGTGCATGCTCTGTTTCCTCTTGGGAAATGAGGACAGGACAGGGGTGTGGGCCCAAGAAGAGTGGTGGAGCCATCAGAACAGGGTCGTGGAGAGGCCGAGCTGTCACTAGGCAGCTTTGGTCGAGATGAGGGGCCGGTCCCCACCCTGGGCAAGGGCCGAGGTGGAGGCAGGAGGACATACTTGCTGTCCTAGGGCCGGGCTGGGGGTGCCTGACAGAGACCCCTGGGGAAAAGGGATGGAAATGGGCCCAGGCCCAACTGGCACCGTGCAACACATTCCTGCAAAACCTGCTTTCACTTTCTCTGTCTTGAGGCATCCATCACCTGTAACAGTCTAGAAGTGATATATAAAGAAACCATCAAATATGATCTGAGATATAAATTAACAAGTACAAGGCCTCACATTACATGATGTGAAAAGGCTAAAAACAGCGATAGAAACTACATTCATAAAAGTGCATCGTCAACATACAACGAAGGCTTTGGCTTGTTCTGGTGCCCGCAGGGAAGTGGGCATGGCTGGCAATGAGCTGCCTGGCGCTAATCCTCAGCTCCCTGGAGAATGCCCATCCATGGGCACTGGCTTTCTTTTTTCCCTTTAATGACAACTCCCAAGGAAACTGGGTGTTGAGAGGGAGGCGCTCTAGCAATAGGCACATTTTGGAGGGGAGGGGCCGGAAGAAAGGACCAGCGCCCAGGCTGAGGTAAATAAGGCCAACTCTAAGCTGCTTGGAGATACTGGCTCCCAGACCCCTAATGTCATTCCTCCCCCAAGGGAGGAGCAAGAAGGGGAAGAGGCTGAGACCTCATGGGGACGGGCAAGGCTGGCCAAGGAGGAAGAGAGCTGGCGGTTTAGACACCATTGGTGGCATCACAGGGGCTCTCCGTTCTACTAGCTGGAGAGGGCTCTGGCCTAGCAGGGTCATACTCACAGACAGCCTGATAGAACTCCCCTGGTCAGCCTGAGTGGCCTGCTCAGGGCAGTGGCCAGCTGGATCAGAGGCTCTCAGTGCTGTCCATCTTTCTGTCTGCTGCAGTGGGGGAACAGATACCAGGCCAGGAGCACAAAGGCCGTTACCTTCAGCTCTTTCCAATCCAGCCCAAGGCCCGAGCCCATAGCAGGGGTGCTTGGAGCCCAGAGGGCACATAGTCTCCAGTTCAGAAACTGGATACAGCATAAGAGTGACTCCAACTTGTAAAACAGAGACAATTGCATTGACAAAACTGCCCCCTCAGTGGGGCAATTCCAAATCTCAGGCCCCTGCTCGGGAAGGCAGGGTCACAGGGCAGGCAGGACGGGTCCTCCTTCCCTGAATAAGGCAGCATAACATTTGCTTCATTCATCTTTGGTAAGGACAGGGACTGGCAAAGCTGACCTGGGGGCTCCAGGGGGAGTGAAGCCCAGGCCTCTGCCTTCCATTGGCTGCAGGACGCTGGGCTTTGGCCTCAGGCTTGGGTGGGCTCATTCAGCCCAGAGATGCCCTGGTGATCTCCAGACAGGGGGAGGAGAAACAAAATAACACTCTGAATGAAAGTAACACTATTCGGACCCTCATGTCCATCTTGTGCCCCAGACCCTCTGGGCTCTGGTGCTGATTGCAGTGTCAGGACATAGCCCAGAGGGTGGAGCCCACGGCGCCTCGCACACTGTTCCTAGCCCCGACCTCCATGCTGAGCTTACGAGGCTGGAGTTCTGGGGTATGGCAGGGTGGGGGCTTCCAGTCCTTGAGGCTGCAGCTGCCCCACTCTGGTTCTGAACCCCACTGGCGGAAAGGGCACAAACGCTAGCTGGACTGTAGCTCCATGGTCCACAGCCTTGCCTGGGAGAAGCAGCAACTCTGCTGAGTCCCACAGCAGCCCCTTGCCCACGCAGCAGGGAAGGCTGGCAGCAGTGTGGCCGTGAGAGCTCAGTACACAAGCTGTGCAAAGTGGTGTGTGAGCAGCTCCTCGGCCGAAGGTCTCTGGCGGGCTTCCACAAAAATGCGCCTCAGGAAGTCCCGGCCGTGCTCAGAGATGTGGGAAGGTAGCTGAGGATTGGTGGGCTGCGTGGCAATCTTGAAAATGGCGGCCATAGCTTCATACTCTGCCCAAGGTGGTTTCTCTGTCAGCATCTCTACCACAGTGCAGCCCAAGCTCCTGGAGAGAGAGAACCCCATGTCACCTCTTGGCCAGCCTAGGCTCCCAGCTGCCCTGCCCACTGTTGTGAAAGGAGGTGCTTTTCCTAGAACACACTGAGGCAGGATGAGCCAAGCTGAAGGTCAACAACCTATAAAGGGTCTCCAAGGCCAGAAGAGGGTTCAAAGCACCGTTAGCCTCGTCCACACAGGCTTCATCAACCTACACTCACCTGCGTACTTCTTGAGATTGGGGAAGAGAACCGCTTAGTATAGACAGAAAAAACTCCAAGATAACTGTTCTTAGTTTCCTATTGCTGCTGTAACAAATTACCATGAGCCTAATGGCATCAAAAATAATACGAATTCAACCAATGGACACAGACAACTAACTGGTTGGGAAAAGCAGGAGGGGGGCGGGAGCAGGGAGGAGGGAGTCAATAAGGAAAAGGGGGGACATTGGTAATACTTTCAACAATTAAAAAACAAAACAAATTATAGTTCTGGAGGTCAGAAGTCTAAAAATCAGTCTCACTGGTCTAAAGTCAAAGTCTCATTGGGGACAGTTCCTTCTGGAAGCTCTGAGGGGAGAATTTCCTTGCTTCTTCTAGCTTCTAGAGGCTGCCTGCATGCCTTGGCTCATAGCCCCTTTCTTTCTTTAAAAAGAATTTTTTTTTTCTTTATTGATTTTAGTAGAGAGAGAGACAGAAACATCTATGAGAGAGAACATCAACTGGTCACCTCCTACATGCCCCCCACTAGGGATAGAGCCCACAACCTGGGCATGTGCCCTGACCAGGAATCGAACCGGCAACCTCTTGGTACATGGGGTGATGATCAACCACTGAGCCACACTGTCCGGACTCATGGCCCCTTTCTTGCATCACTCCAACCTCTTGCTCCCACAGTCACATCTACTACTCACTCTGAGCTCCTGCCTCCCTCTTATAAAGACCTTGTTAATTATGCCAGCCCACCTGGATAATCCCGGATGATCTCCCCATCTCAAAATTCTGAAATTAATCACATCTGCAAAGGCCCTTCCGCCATATAGGGTAACATTTACTGTCAAAGGGGTTAGTCCATGGACATCTTCAGGGGACCACCCTTCAGCCCACCACAAGAACGTTCCAAGGGGAAGAGCCCTCCGTGCCCTTTCACAGGATGGACATGAAGTTAAGTGGAGCAAACCCAAGCTGTCTGAGCACTAGGAGAGGAAGTGGACGCCTGATAGTGTTTAGAGGCTGACCGAGGCCTTCAGAATGGATTCGACTTCTTTTTTAGCAAACATCAGGGATGTTTTCCACAGCCTAAGTTCCCAGCAGTAACATTTGCTATTTGGAGTTAAAACACACCACCACCTCTGTATCTTGGCCTAGCTGGCCAGAGGCGGGCACTCCCTTCGTCCCTCCCTCAGGCCACACCACAGAGCCTCAAAGCTTATTCGTAAGTTGGAGCCACTACACCCCAGACAGGGAGATGGGGTCCCAGCATGTCCACGGTGCTCACCACACATCTGCCTTCCTTCCGTAGCCTTCGCCGCTGATCACCTCAGGGCTCATCCAGTAGGGTGTGCCGGTGACTGAGCGCATGCCCGGGCCTGACATGCAGATGGTCTGCAGGCGCTTGCTGGCCCCAAAATCCCCCAGCTTCACATTCCCAGCAGAGTCTCGGAGGATATTGGCTCCTAAGGCATGAAAGGACAGAGCCTGTAACCCTAAAATCTTTGGGCTTTTTCCTCCCTCTTTCCCTCCCTCCCCCCCTTCCAGGTCACAGGGCTGCTGGGGAGGACAGGGCTACCATGAATTAGATGTGGACTGCACAGGCAAACAGGCGAGTGAAGAAGCCTCAGTACTACAGCACAAAATGATCATCACTGTGGCCAACATTGCTGAGAACTTCACTTTGCAGTATTTTCCCAAACTGCTCAATTGATCTTCACACCAATCCCCCAGAAAGCAATTACAGTCCCACTTTTCAGAAAGTTCGAAATGGTTAAGCAACCAGGTCTTGGGGACCCCACACCCTACTCACCCTTGATGTCCCGGTGAACGATCATGTTGCTGTGCAGGTAAGACATGCCCTCCAGGATCTGCCGGGTGTATTTTCGGGTCACACTCTCTGTCAGAGCTCCATAGGCCTTCAACTGGTCCTTCACTGAGCCCTACAGCCACAGATGTCACAGGGAGTCACTACGGGAAGGTGGCAGGAGGGGCCAAGGCTATTCCCAGCCCCCAGCATCGCAGCAAAGTGATTCATCCAATCCCCACCTGCAAAATACTAGGTACTTTGCTAAGTGCTGTTGGGCAGCTTGGAGAAAAGTCTGAGATAGCCCTTTCCTCAAGCAACGTATGACTCAAATCGAGAAGGGAGGCCCCAGTGCTCCAGGTAAAGGTGGTACTTAGTGGACAGTGCAGCTGTCCTGGAAGCCTTAGGTGAGGCTGGCCTGGGACACTGCTCATCCCACACCATCACTGTGACCAGAGCCAGGCCCTTTTTGACTGCAAGTCCTGCCATACCTCACCTTCTCCTTTGAGCCTCTGGAGTCTCAGGGGATCAAACCCATGTCAAAGAGATCCCTCTTCGGCAGCCCCCAACCCCAGGTCAGGCCCTCTTTTATGTGTGTCTCACACGCATAAAGGGGCACGTACCCCCGGCATATACTCCATGAAGATGGTCAGAGTCTTCTCAGCGCGGTCCCGCAGACAGCCATAGTACTGCACGATGCGCTCATGCTGCAAGTTCTTCAGCAACTGGATCTCACACTCCAGAGCACTCACCTCCTAGGGAAAGGGCCCAGTGGTCACCTCAGCTCTCAGGGCCCTGGTCTGCCTGCCTGGGATCAGCTCAGCTTGCCCTAATCAGTGTCCTCAAAGGGGTCTATCTGCCTGGGAAACTTCAGCTGGAGAAAGGGGGACTCTCTCAACTGTCTGGCCATTGGTTGCCCTCAGTGTTGGGCAACCCTTTGAGTGGTGGCACTCTCACACAGGAAACAGGCAGACAGTGGGGTGGGAGAAGGAGTTGTGGGTGTCTGGTAACTGCTGTATTTATCCACTCAGGCCACACCCAAAGCTGAACTACAAAGACAGGCTCCTTCCTGGGCTAACAGAGACAACTTTGGTAAGGCAGGTGCTACTCTTTGTGGCATGGTCATCACCTCTCAGTTTGGGTTGCTTGCTACTTTGGCATCAGCTTATTTCCTCATACCCAATCCCTCCCCGGAATGCTTGGTGCTCTTTGGACCACAGTCCCATCACCCCATGGCCAGGGCCTGGGCCACGGTGGACAGCAAGGGAACTTGGGAGGAAGAATAATGGAGGAAATAACCTGTAGTTTCTTGAGCAATCAGTCTGTGCAACGAGACAGGTATTTGGTTGAGAGGGTGGAACTGGAAGTCAGACCATGGGGAAGGTAGTACCTTGCTTGTCTCAGGACTATCTGGGTCAAACTGGACCTGCTTGGAAGCAAGTTCACGTCCTGTGTCCACATCATAACACAAGTAGACCCTGCCAAAGGCACCCTGGCCCAGGAGCTTCCCCCGGCGCCAGTTGATGGGGGCACTAGGAGCTGTAGGAGAAGAGAAGAAAAGAGCTTTAGTCTGTGCACATTATTTATTGATATACTGCCTCATTCTCCAGAGGCTTTATATAGGACCTTTGGCTGGAGCTTCCCCCATCACCCAGCACTATCACATCTGAATGCATCATCTCCACCCCCACCTATAGCAGGCCCGGTGCTCTGGCTAATCAGACCTTCAGGCTTGAGTCCCAAGAAGCAGAGGACTTGGTGAAGGCATGGTTAAATGCTTTTCTGCATTGATCAAACATCTATATTTCCAAAGCCCCTAAATATCTTAATATGGCAGGGATTAAGGAGACAGCCCTTCAGTTTAAACATGAAAAAAACTAAAGACCACCCAGCTGGTGTGGCTCAGTGGTTGAGCGACCCATGCACCAAGAGGTCGCCAGTTCGATTCCTGGTTGGGGCACATGCCCAGGTTGTGGGCCAAATACCCAGTGGGGGGAATGCAGGAGGTGACCAATCAATGTCCTCTCTCATAGGTGTTTCTATATCTCTCTCCCTCTCCCTTCCTCTCTCTCTAAAATCAATAAAGAAAAAAACTAAAGACCAAAGAGGGGAAGTGGCTTATCACACAACACTGGAATAAGGACTAAGGTCAAGGGGTTCTCCTGTCCATCCACAGGCTGTTCCAGTGTGGAGAGGATGGGCCAAAGCAGCCTACTGCTAACTAAGCCAGACAGCCCCAGCAGACTCACTGGCCTCCCAACCTACATCTTGTCTGAGCATCCCCTGTGCAGTTTCCTCCTAACCAGGGCCCACTCCTCACACTTGGTCGGCACATTCCTCTCCTGCACAGAAAGAGCATTCTCGCTGTCCGCACTCCGCAGGCGCCCTCGGGGGTCCAGATATTGCACCGCCAGACCCATGTTCTCGCCATTTGTGCTCAGGGATCGGCTGGAGGGCACCAGGGTGAACAGGTTACCTTGATGTCGTCGTATTCGGGGAAATGTTCTTCTGCCTGAAGGGGTGCAAGGGCCAGAGTAGAGCAAGTCAGACTTCTGGCCTTGAAACTGAATGGCTGAACCAGGTCATAACACCAGTTTTGGTCGATCATATCTGCTTTCCTACCTAACTCATGCCAGAATGGCTAATGTCTCAAACACCTTGAGAATCAGAACAAAAGCAGGAATTAGAAAGCAGCCAGAGACAGTTAAAAAATCTCTAGCCAAAGGGAAGGCACAGGGCTGGCCCTCAGGCTTCTCAGCACTTGCAAAGCCAATCCATAGCTGAAGTCTGTTTTCCTTGGCATCCTAATCCTCCATATCTGCAGAAGCTCCACTGTTTGCTGCCACAGGGCAGAAGAGGGCGATGGAGAGCTACACCCTGGAGCAGGCTGTGCACTCAGACAAAGGACAGAATTCCCAGTGGCAAGTATCCTGAGCCTACAAATACTGTCCTCCCCCCTTTTTGTTTTTCCCTGTCTCTAGTGCCTCAACTCTGGGCACAGTTCCTCAGGAATACAGGAAACAGAGGGTCTAGAGTGCCCTGGCCCACCCCCAAGCAGTGGCGTTGCCATGGCAGAGCTGTAACTGCATCCTATTTGAGGCAGCCAGGGTGGAAGTGCACTCACCATCATTGTAGTCCTTGTGGTGCACAGAAACGTGGTAGCGCCGGGGGTAGGTTCCACCTTTGACCCCTTTGTCATAGAGCTGAGTTTCCCGATCTGAATAAGATAGAGGAATCATTAGCTTCTGGGCAGATAGTACTGAGTGATCCATTTAAGCCCCTAGGTCACCTGAGACCTCAGAGCAGTAGGCCCAAGGAGAAATAAAATACAAGTTTGGCTTCCCAACGCAGCTTTCAAAAGCAGAATGCCTGCTGCCCTAACCAGATACCCTGCAGTGCTCACCCAGGCTCTGGGGAACTCACCGGAGTACTCCTGTCTGTTGTCTGGGAAGCTCTGGGCTCGGGACATTCGCGATTTCCGGAAGGATGGACTGGAAAAACAAACAAACCACAAAGCAGATTTTAGCATACTTCCAAAGCAGCCCACCAGGGCAAAGGCAGGATATCCAGATGGACTCCTTTTTCTAACTTCCTCACATGCCATTATATGGTAGGAAGCAGAGTATAAGAGAAAGAATCCTTTTCTGGGCTCAGTCTCCTTTCTCTTTACTAGTCTGAGACCCAAATCTGACAGGACCCTGAATGATGAGCCCCTCCAATCCTACCCAACTCTACGCTGGCTGCACAGCACTTTTCTCTTTTTACCCTTTCCTTCCACCTTAGTAACAGGAGTTGCAAAAAAGTCCCTTGCCTAGGGCAGTAATAACTAGCAATACCACCAAGCCTTTTCCTTTCAGACTAATCACCACCATCCCAATTTGTTTTATTTATTTATTTATTTATTTAAAATAGGAAACGCTTCACGAAGTTGCATGTCATCCTTGCACGGGGCCATGCTAATCTTCTCTGTATAGTTCCAATTTTATTATATGTGCTACCAAAGTGAGCACCACCATCCCATTTTAGAGGTGGGGAAACTGAGGAACTGAGAGGTTATGGGACCTATCCGGAGCTACTCAATTAATGTTTGGTGGAGCTGGGGTCCATCTGGCTCTTGATCCCATGAAGGGAAGATGGAAACCCTATGCTCAAGTTGGGCCAGGCTTCAAGGAAATAAGTCCAGGTAACTGGGTTTCACTCCCAGGAAGAAGAAAACAAAGAAGGGAGGGACAAAGAAAAAAACCCAAGAATCAAGTGAGTAAATTCAGCTCTTTCCCAGCACCCACCTGAACAATTCCTTCCCTTGCGACTGCTAGACCCAGACCTTCTGCAATCCTGTTCTACTGCCCCCACCCCAATTCGCCCTCCCCTCTGGTTTGGCTTCAGATCTGTTAGGAAAGACATAGTACCAATTTGGTCATGGTCATAAGGTCAGTACCCACATGAACAATTAATCAGTGTCACAGAGAAAAAATAAATCTACAAACCTGCCCCATAGCTTCTGACCATAGCCCTAAGCCCAGCCAGATGAGATCAAACATTCTCTTGGACATAACAAGGTCAAGGTGAGAAACTGGCTGGATCAGTGCCAAAGCCATCTCTAAACATAACCCACTGATGGGCAAACCAGCTCCACAGAACCATTTGGCATGTAAAGGACAGCATTTGTTCCCTCCCAAAGTGCAAGAACAAGATTACACACCAAACAGGCAGTGTGATAAGCTAGGCAGTCTGGATATTTTGTTTTCTTTTTTTTATATCCCAGTTTCTTATTCCATCAGAAACACTTTTAAAAAGTGAACCCACAGATGATAATTCAATTTTGTTCCCCAAACATTGAAGGTCCATTCAGTCCAGATCACAGTAATGAGGCCAAGAGTACTAGAGCAGCATGTCTTATGTGGAGTGTCAAACATATAAAGTACTTGGAACAATAAAGCATTTAATACATGTGAATTGCTATTCTGGGCTGCTATTCCATTCATCTAATTATATAAACAACATTCTCATGGTGTTTGGAAAATTAAGGAGAGGGTTCTTTCCTATAAGTATGTTTTTACTATAGGCCTATAAGACCAGTGTCTAGATTAGAGACATAACAGTAACTAACTGTATTTCCTCAGCCTATCAGTTCCAAAACACCTATGTACTAACCCCCAAACCAGCCACAGTCCCATACCTGTCTGCTGACCTGTCCAAGGATTGGCAGCTTCCCGACAAAGAATTTTCGGCACTGTCCAGGGGATCCAGCATCTGCAAGATAAGTCATACAATAAAACTCCAGCCCAAGCTCAAATCCCCGAATACAGGTAAGTCAGGGATTTAAGGACCAGCCAAGGCCAGCAAATTATCCTTTTTGTCAAAATATGAAAATGCCCTTTCTCTGCCTATACAGTGAGAAAAATGATTAGGAAGATACCATTCTCCCCTGAAGTTCGAAAGGCAAGTATCCAGGAGGGAGAAAAATGCCTGGCTGACACCCCAAGGAGCTCTGCCAAGGAGAGCAAAGCCAATGCTGCTTCTCTTGTTGGCATTTTCTTGGCTCATGACTGCTTGAGCCTGGTGCTGGAGATGGTACTACCCTGTAGAAGCTTCCAGCGCATTTGGGTGGGACTATAATGCTTCTGTTTACATTCCATAATTTATAATTTACAAAGACAAGCATTGCCCTCACTTCACAGATGAGCCACTGCAGGTCTAGAAAGGTTAAGAGAATGGTCTAAGTCATAAAACATATTAGTGCGCAGCTGATACAGATTTAAAAATTTCCAGTTCCTGGTTCTCATGCAGAGGCAACAGATAGCTATGTAAGTTAAAATGTTTATCTGGCCCTTGGTCAAACGCAGTAACAAAAAACCTTTGGATTAGCTGTCTCCAATTAATCTCTCCTTCATTTTGTCCATGGGGAATGAAGGTATCTACTACTAGAGTATTCATTATCTCAGATCCAAAGCTAAACATGATATAGAGAAGAAGAGTATTGGAACTGTGAAAATTCACTAACAACTTTCATAAAATTAGTTTCTAACTCAAATGATCTCTTCCCATCTAATACTGGAGTTCATCTCACCCATAATTTCAAACACTTTAGGTCCTATTGTCATATATATATATTTTAATACTATCAGGACAAAATAATTTGCAAAGTAAAACTGCAAATCTTGACAAGAATATAGGAGTTTCCAAAGTGGATAAAACCAATATGGAAAGAACTGCTCACAACCCATCAAATGCATATTTGGCACAGTTGGAGCAGTTAATAGAAGAGAGAATGGGCAAGTATAACAACCTGACAGGTGTGATAAAGGAGCAGGAATAGCAAAGGTTCAAGAGAGGCCTTTGGAAAACCCACTGAATTCCATGAAGGCTTCTGTAAAAATGGACTCCCTTTATGACAGTGCTGAGTCAAAGGGGAAGTGAAAGAAGTTGTGTTGTGCTAGCAAAATTTTGTTAGAAAAATTAAGTCTCCCCCTAAATCAACATGAATCATGCTTCTTAAATTTCATTCTAAAATATAGCAAATAGCCCTGGCCGGTTTGGCCCAGCAGTTGGAGCATCGGCCCATGGATCAGAGTGTCCCGGGTTCGGTTCCGCTAGAGACATGTACCAAAAAAATAAATAAATACAATAAAATAAAAAATAGCCAAATAGACACAACTATTAGCTAAATCTGATTAAAGCAAAACCAAAATAAACTTATCTTAGTTTTAAGAAGGTCTCAATTGAATATTCTCTCGCTATATACTATGCTGTTTTGGTCTCTAAGTGCATTTATCTTTTTTTAAAAATAGGTTTTGTTGATTTTTAGAGAGAGAGGAAGGGAGAGACAGAAACATTGATGGGAGAGAGACACATTGATCGGCTGCCTCCTGCACGCCCCCTACTGGGGATCCAGCCTGAAACCCAGGCATGTGCCCTGACAGGGGAATCAAATCCGGACCTTTCAGCCTACGGGACATTGCTCAATCCATTGAGCCACACCGGCCAGGCTCTAAGTGCATTTATCTTGAATGGCTCAATTACCAGCAGCAATTCTCTGCTGGTAAAGAGGCAGGGCACTGGAGAATGACCTAGGCATTCCCTAGCCACATCCTTCGTTGGCCTCTTTCCAGAAGTCCTCACTAGGAGTCTAATACTCCCATGCCTTCAAGGGCCAGGAAGGTAATGTGTAGCAGTAAAAGGATCAGGGTGTAGGACAATGGGGAAGGATAGAGACCAAAAGCAATCAAACTCATTTGCAATCTCTGAGATTTTACACCCAAGTCACCCCTAGTACAGCTGATGTTCAGAAGTGCTCTGGTTAGAGAAAACAGGAAGGATGGTCAGTAAAATACTCAAGGGTATATGCAGCTAAAGGGACTCCAGGTCACTCTTCTAAACATAAATTTATCTGGAAGGCAGAAATACAGACGAGAAAAGAAGCAGTGTAAAGAACTTCTCATAGTCTATACAGTCTGAATAAAGTTGTATAGAGATTAGCTATTAAAGGGGAAAGAAAAGTTATAAAAATCAGGTTTAGAAGCAGGAAAAGTTACAAGAAGTAGTTTTTGGTAAAATCTCCCATGTGATGGTGCTGGCCCTTCTGTTGGATGGTTTAACCTTGAGAATTGTCCCTTTCCCAGACCAAAGCCTCAAAATTTATAACAGTGGATCTTTCTCTTTGTAATCAAAGCCAGCTCATTGAAAAGACTTCAGAATGAGGTCTGAACTCTCACTCTTACTGAGTTCACTAGGCCAAAATGTCATTTTCATCAAGTGAGCCACTAGTTAAAAAGCTACCCATTTTTTAAAACTCAATATACAATGAGATTCATTCAAATTGTTGCATATATCAGTGTTCTTTAAAAATCCCTGTCTAGTATTCTATTGTATGACTGTAATACAATTTGCTTATCCATTCTCTCTTTGATGAACATTTAGGTTGTTTCAAGTTCTTGACTTTTAATGAGTAAAGCTCTTACAAATACCCATATAGAAGTCTTAGTTCAAAAAAAAAAAAGCTAGCCATTAAAATGGGTTAGCCATTGTGGTGGACACACCACCAAGTGATCCCCCTTCCATGAGTCACAGCCTTGTATAATCCCCTCTATTCGAGTCTAGGTAGAACTTGGAAACTGTTTCTAGTTAACAGGCTATGGACAAGAGGATAGAATATTGGGATCTTCATTCCTGTGACTATGCTACATTTTATAAGACTCCATCTTTGCAGACTGGAGCAAGAGACTCTTCCTCTGGCCTTGAAGAAGCTGCCACATTGTGAGGGCCATGTGGCCATGTGGCAAGTTAGAGTGGTTCCTCGCCACCAGTAAGACACAGAGACCACAATGCTTTGATCATAGGGAACCAAATTCTGCCAACCATGTGAATTTGGAAGGGAACCCCAAGCTCTAGAAAGAAATGCAACCTGGTCAACACTTGATGGCAGCCTTGTGTGATCCTGAGCATTGAACCCAACTAAGTCATGACTGGATTCCTGACCCAAGGAAACTATAAAATAAATGTATGCTGGTGTAAGCCTCTAAGTTTGTAGCAATTTGTTATGTAATAATAGAAAACGAATATAGCTGCTTACCACCATAAAAGTTCACCCAAAGTAACCAATCCTACAGTGTAATCTGGATGTGGTATGCTCCTTACCTTTTACCAAAAAATAGTAAAATTAAAATACAGCTAATGAAAAACAAAATCTGTCAGTTTAGGATTGGTCACATGTCAAAACTCTGCTGAAATGACAGGCAGTTATAAGGAAGTAAACAAATAGCAGAGGTATTCTGCAAGGAGACCAGCAAGAGAACTACAAAAGAGAAAAAAATTTGTCAAATGCATATTCAGCACCCAAGGAGGTTAGGTAGTTTAGGTCCCATCTTTGGCACAAATTGATATTTGGCCCCTAGAAAGGAATAATTCGTATTTGGGCAGGACTGGTTTACAAAAGAGCTATTAGATGGGGCTCAAGTCCCTTAGCTCTGCACCATGCCCACTGAAAACCCCCTGATTTTTTGTTGTTGTT